ATAATTTTCTATGATGGAACTGAATTTTCTTATTCCAAATTTGTGTTTGTTATTAAAATTTCCAAGAAATTGAAAAACTTAAAGAGAGCATGCGACAAGTATTGCATATGCTTCCTTCCTTTCTAAACACGGTTGATGATTTGATTAAAACAAATTCTTCTTTTAATTATTCATTAGTCCCAACATAAAATTATAATGGCTATGAGAGATGATAAAACATAATATACTCTAATTCATAAAATTATATTTTTGAAGATTCAAATGGGTTCGCGATGGCCCAAAAGGTAGAAGCAATAGGTGGTAAGGGAGGCAAGTTGTGGGATGATGGAGCCAACCATGATAATGTAGCAAAAGTCTATATACGAGGTGATCGTGAAGGGATTCAGTACATCCAAGTCGACTATGTCAAGGATGGACAATATATTAATGGATCAGTCCATCGTGGTTCAGCCGATGGTTTCACGCAAACCGTATGTTTCAATTCATATTTTCATGTCCGCATACGTAAAGATATAGAAGAAACAAATTGTTGCAACTAATACACTTTGAAAACAAAAACAAAAAATCAACTATAAAATCTAACATACAACTCTATATATGGTTATTAAAGAGTACTATTTTAGAACCCTAATATTTAAAATCATATGTTTAATTATAACTTTGCCATGTTTCTTTTGTTTGCAGTTGGAGATTGACTATCTCAAGTATGAGCAAATTGTATCTGTTGAGGGTTACTACAATGAAAGGAACGGTGTGATGCAAGCACTCCAATTCAAAACAAACCTCAAGACTTCAGAATTTATTGGATATCAAAAGGGTACTAAATTCTCACTTGGAGTCGATGGAAAAATCATTGTTGGCTTCCATGGATCTGCTTGGCATAACCTACGTTCTCTTGGAGCATATTTAAAGACTCCTCCCACCAAATCAGAACTCCAAGGTGGCATAACCGGAGGCGAATATTGGGATGATGGTCCTAACTTCGACGGCGTAAGAAAAGTGTATGTTACTTTCACTGAAACTCATATAAGGAGTATGAACATTGACTATGACCAAGATGGCCTAGTGGTAACACGTTATCACGGAATGAAGAATGGAGAGACACAAGAGGTAATTATATAACTTTATACCTAGTTCATGCATATAACATGAAGTTACTCTAATTTGAAGGAAACAAATGGAGAAATGGGTCGGAAATAGTCTAAGCTAGGTCTATCTTGTTATTGCAGTTTGCTGTGGACTTTCCAAATGAATACTTGACATCTGTTGAAGGCACATACGACCACATCAGCGAGGGTAACTATTTGGTCCTTACGTCATTGACTTTCAAAACATCAAAAGGGAGAATCTCTCAGACATTTGGATTGGTCATTGGAACCAAATTTGTGTTGGAGAGTAAAGATAATGTTATAATCGGGTTCCATGGAAGGGATGGTGGTTCTTTTGATGCTATTGGAGTTTATTTCTCTCCAATGATATCTTCATAGAGTTCCAAGAAAAAAAAGATGTTTGTCGTCTAAAAGACAAAATTCAAATTTTTATAATAAGATATCGTTGAAAGAATTTCTCACTTGAGTAAAAATTCTATAATGTTTCGTATACCTACTAAAGATAATCATTGTCAAAAACTCTTCAGAAAACATAAAATGGCATTTAATGGAAAAAAAAAAACAAGAAAAACAAAAAGTTGGAAACGACACTCTAACCATCATCGTGTTCGTGTCCTTAAAAAAATCTAATCATCATAATTCATTCATGAACCTCTTCCAAACGGATCTAATAAAAAAAAATACATATAAAAAACATGTCTTTATGAACCTAACTGCAAAGCTAAACTATTGAAATGTATTGAAAGGGATTCTAGAATGGTCAAAGATGTGAGATATAAAAATGGTGGTGCGAATTAAAAAAAAAAGAAAAAAAAGTAGAGCCTCTCTCATATTATTAACTTTAAAAATGTTAGTATCCCAAAAGCTAAATATATGTAACTTAAATCAACAATTAACTTATTTGTACACTATATCGGTGAAAAACCATGATAGACACGCAACACAAGAATTCTCCAAAACCTATGCACACAATGAATTTTTTTTTTTGGTAAATTGACGGGAGATAGTGCCCTCCCTATGTTTTATTAATAAAAATCAAAAATTACACATAAAATTCTCTTGGCTGAGGTAAACCAACAACATCCTCATGCAATATCAACGCCAAATTTGGCGGAACAAAATCCAAAGAATAAAAACCTAAAGGTAAAGAAAACGCATAGTTCACTAACCCGTCAGTAAGACGGTTAGCTTCCCTATACACGTGAACAATACGGACTATCCAGTCTCTCGTAAGCAAGCCATGGCACAAACGTACCAGGAAAGACAGCGGATGAGTCGCACTTATCCCTGCCGTTAGAAAACCCACAACCATCTCCGAATCCACTTCCACCTCTAACCGCGATATCTTCTTCTCCCAAGCAATATGAAGGCCGTAAAAAACTCCCCAAAGTTCTGCAAGAGGAGCAGTACATCGACCAATATTGCAAACGAAGCCACCAAGCCAATCTCCATGTTCATTTCGTAACGCACCACCAGCCGTCGCCACCCCCGGATTACCATGTGAGCCTCCATCCGTATTAAGTTTAACCCATCCAGCCTCCGGAGTTACCCATTTTATCAAACGCTCCACTCTCACCCGATCATGACCCGAGGCATGATTAGCTTCCCCGGCCATGCCAACCTCCCGTGCTAGGTCCTTAATAACCTTAACCCGGTCTCGACACAGCCTACTCCCTCCAAATACATTCTCACAACGCCATTTCCACCCCCACCAGCACGCAACAGCAAAGAAAGTCGCCCACGTACTCCCAAAAACTTGAGTGCCCATCCCTAGATTCTCATACATCCATTCAAGTAAAGACTTGCTAAAGAAATCGTGTCTTCTATCCGTAGAGAGCAAACGCTGCCATATTCCCGACATGGCCGGACAGTCCCGCAGCACATGGAGAATCGTCTCCTCTCCACCGCGACACACCGAGCACACCCCAGTATCGCTAAGATGTCGTTGTTGCCTTTCACAATTTGTCATAATTACCCGCTGAGAAACCAACCACAAGAACACTCTAACTCTCTCTCCGGCGCCTTAACGTGCCAAATCCGTTTATAAAACCCATCCATGTTTGGTTTTGCCTTCGGATCACGAGTTATAAATTAATACGCAGCTTTCACACTAAATTGGCCATCACTCGTATGCCCCCACGACAGCCTATCTCTTGCGCCGGTCACACTATCCACCACAACGGCCATAAGCTCCAATTTCTGCTGTTCCGTTATATAAGGGTCAATACGTTCAAAATCCCATCCTTGACCATCGACCCAAAATACAATACACAATTTTACTCTCGTTATTCTCTATTTCTCACCGTAAATATTAAACTCTTACTCTCTCAATTCTCAAAATAAACCTTTTTTTATTAATAGACTTTCTTTTCTTATAAACGGCAATCACCTTTTATGTTTGAGGGATAAGAAATCTTTTATGTTTGCCTAAATCTATAAAATTAGTTTTTCTTTTTTCTTGATTTGCTCACGTCTTCAGAATATTATAGATTTTTGGTTCTGCACAATTTTCTACATTAGTTACCAATATCTTCATCAATATACAGTTCACTTATTCAGCGGATCACGTGGTCCTGTCATCAATTATTGCATCCTCATAATTTTGTATCACTAAAAAAATTTCTTCTTTAATTAATTTGTTCTAGCAACTCTAATAAGGGAGTGTACTCAAAGTGAAAAATTTACAAATTATGTGTTATTCAAACACGGATTTTAAAATATTTCATGAAATGCAGTGTTATTGAACTAGTGATTTTAAAATCTATCTTAAAATCCACTGTTATTGAAAACAGTTTGTCAATTTGATTTAAATAATTTGAGAAGATTTTAGAAGATTTTAAAGAAATTCCTTAGTTAAAAATACAAAAAAATCTAAATCATATGAACTTCCATAAAATCCACAAAATCATATAAAAACTGGAAAAAAAAACTCAGATCTCTTAAAGTGCTACTTTGAATACACCCCCTTATCAAAACACTTTTATCTTCTGTTTAACCTTCACTAAAACTTGGACTTAGAGCAACATTGTTAGTAGTCTCTTAATATTGGTTTAGCATTAGTTTAGTATTAATAAATTAAGAACATCCTAAATACGTTAGTTTTGTCTCTTAATTAAGATAATTTGTTTGTAATAAAACACATTTTCTATATGTATTTAAGCTAAGAACACCCTAAAATAATACTATGGTCTTATATCAATGGATTTAGGCATTATATGCAACTCTCAGCTTATCACTAACCAGCTCAACAAAGATATTATGAAAACAAAGAATAATCGGATGAAAATTTACTTTAAAATAGTTTAGTGCCATCAGCGGTTACATGAGGAAAACTTATCAAAGTTAATGCATGTGTTTAAATTTCTAACCGGATTAAAATATTTAAAAGGACCAAACCATTTTATTCGACTTGCTCTAATTAGATCAACTCCGTCGATGCTTATCTACATGTCGTATAACCAGATTGATAGAAAAGAAAAAAAAAATTCCATCCCAAGAAAACTAAATTTTCGTTTAAAAGAAACCACTGGGTACATTTTTTTTGTCATGTTCACTATAAAAGTTACCATTATGTGATATTTCTCTTTCGTGTAATAAGTTCATGGTGTATTGGATTTATATTTGTTAGGTGAACCATGTGGGAGGCAATTCTCTCACATTTAAAACGAATGTAACCAATTTCAATAATTATAACTACTTTCTTTTTTCTTTTTTCTTGTCAACAAACTTTAATAGATAAAATAATTATAACTACTATGGTTGTGACAAGAATATAATGAGTTTGTAGGGTTTCTACTTTCACATTATATAAGAAAGAAAAAATTACTATACATATATATACCCTATCACTATCCACATTCCACAACTTCGCAAGTTGCTATCATTCTTCATCGTACTCTCTTTACACAGGTTACTATTTTTTTCTTTCTTTTGGAGTTTTCTTGACGCTTTATCCATAAAACAGCGTATATTGTTTAATTACTTTATGCGTAGATAGAAACAATGTCTCAAAAGGTGGGAGCGATGGGTGGTAACAAGGGAGTAGCATTTGACGATGGTGTTTTCGATGGTGTTAAGAAAGTTACTGTTGGAAAAGATTTTCGCAATGTGAACTATATCAAGATCGAATACGAAAAGGAGGGAAAATTCGAAATCCGTGAGCACGGTACAAATCGTGGTCGATTACAAGAGGTAATGAAAAGATTGTGACTTAGTTACTTGAGTCGGCTCTTATCAGACCGATAAAAGCTAATAACCTCTTTGGTTTTTCATGTAAAATGAAATATAGTTTTCAGTGGATTATCCGAGTGAATATATCATAGCCGTTGGTGGAAGCTATGATGATATTTTTAGTTATGGAGCAGCGTTGATCAAATCATTACTCTTCAAAACCTCTTATGGAAGAACATCTCCCATACTCGGTCATACGACGTTATTAGGAAATCCAGCTGGGAAAGAATTCATGCTCGAGGGTAAAAATGGAGGAAAATTTCTTGGTTTCCATGGGCGTTCTGGTGAAGCTCTTGATGCCATTGGACCTTACTTCTCTGCTGTGGATTCGTCTCTTAAGCAATTTAAACTTCAAGGTGGGGATGGAGGGTTTGCTTGGGACGATGGTGCTTTTGATGGTGTTAGAAAAGTGATCGTTGGACTAAATGGTAAGAGTGTGGGTTATGTAAGGTTTGAGTATGCGAAAGGCCAAAGAACCGTACCGCATGCTCATGGACATAAACAAGAAGCTCCACAAGAGGTAACTTGGTATAAATGTTTTTTGTAGTCTCATGTATACACTCTAAAATATTAGTATTATTATTAGCTTTTGATGGGAGAACAATTTATAATTTCGGTGCAGTTTGTGGTGGATTATCCTAATGAGCATATTACATCAGTGGAGGGAACAATCGATGGTTACCTAACGTCTCTTACGTTTAAGACATCAGAAGGAAGAACCTCCCCTGCTTTTGGGACTGTGGTTGGTAGTAGATTTGTGTTTGAGGAAACAGGTTTTAAACTTGTTGGTATTTATGGTCGGTCCGGTAATGTTATTGATGCTCTTGGTGCATATTTTGCCCCTCTTCCCACCGCTCCGACTCCGGCTGCCGTTCCAGTTCCTGCTCCCACTCCCACTCCCATTCCAGTTCCAGTTCCTGCTCCAACCTCATCCTCTTCTTCCTCTCTTACTCCTCCTCCCAAAAAAGTTGAAGCTCAAGGAGGAAATGGTGGAGAAACATTTGACGATGGTGCTTTCGATGCTGTAAGAAAAGTTTATGTTGGTCAAGGCGATTCGGGTGTTTCTTATATCAAGTTCGAATACGAAAAAAATGGCAAAAGAGAAACACGCGAGCACGGGAAAATGACTTTGCTAGGAACAGAAGAGTTTGAGGTTGATTCGGATGACTACATCACATCTGTTGAGTGTTACTATGAGAAAGTCTTTGGCACACCAACTGATATCATAACATCTCTTATCTTCAAAACATTAAAAGGCATTACCTCTCAGCCTTTTGGAATGGTGTCCGGCGACAAATCTATACTCGAAGGAGGAAAAATCGTTGGGTTTCATGGACGAGCAAGCAACGTTCTCCATTCTTTAGGAGCATATATATCTCCCTCTTCTACTCTGGCAACTCCAAACTCCTTAAAACTTCCAGCACAAGGCGGAAACGGAGGAGTTTCTTGGGACGATGGTGTTCATGATAATGTGAGGAAGGTTTACGTAGGACAAGGCGATTCTGGTGTTGCCTTTGTCAAGTTTGAATACAACAAAGGATCGGAGTTTTTCGCCGGAGATGGTCACGGGAAAAAGTCATTGCTCGGAACAGAGGAGGTAATTAATTACATAGTTGTGATTTCTAGATACATGCATTATCAGGGTACTGATTTTAAGTTTTTTTTTTTTTTAAGAAAAAAGAAAAGAACCATACCTCTCTTAATATAGCAATTTTTTAGATGTATGCATTGAGAGTACATCTAACACGTACATACCTGCTATAGTCAGAAACTTTCCCAAAATGGATAGGCCTAGTTAATGGGTTTCATATGATTTGAGAGTTTTTATGTTTTGTTTGTTTTGGCAGTCGAGATGATTACATTACATCTGTGAAGGTTTACTACGAGAAACTCTATGGCTTGAAAACAGATATTATAACGGCTCTTATATTCAAGACATTCAAGGGAATAACCTCTCAGCCGTTTGGGATGACGTCAGGTGATTTCTTCTTGCTCGAAGGCGGAAAAATCACCGGCTTTCATGGAAGTTCGACCGACGTTCTTCATTCCATCGGAGCTTATATGTCTCTTTCTTTTACTCCCATGTTGCGTGGCAAGTGGATCAAGGTATGTAGTAGGGTTGAATATTAGGTTTTACTAATCGATTTGGTCTTGCAAGTTTTTGGATTAGTATTCCGTTTTGGAATACAAATTTGCTTCATTTTGGTTTTGGTTTGCTTTTGTTTAAGTATGGTTTTAGTTTAAATATGATATTTCAATAAATTACTGTTATTTAGTACATTACATTAGGAGGTTTCATTTTGGTTTAGTTTGTTCGCTACAAAACAGTTCGGTTTATATTCGTAATAAGAATCATAGTCCTTTTGTGAGTTCTGATCATTATTTTTTTAATGTGGTGGCAACATAACTGAGCATTATTATTGTTCTTTTAATTTTATTTTGATAAATTGGTGATTTCATTGTTAGGTGGAGCAAAAGTCAAATGAACCTGGACCAAGATGCTCGCACGCTATAGCCATGGTTGGAGACAAAATGTACTCTTTCGGAGGAGAGTTAACGCCAAATTTTCACATCGATCAACATCTCTACGTCTTCGATTTCAAGACTCACACATGGTCACTTGCTCCTCCAAACGGCGACGTTCCTGACCTCCCTTGCTTAGGCGTTTGCATGGTAGCCACTGGCACCAACCTCTACGTCTTTGGTGGCCGTGATGGCCACCGTAATTACAACGGTTTCTACTCTTACGACACGGTTAAAAGCGAGTGGAAACTCATAACTCACGTTGATAAAGGACCTGCACCGCGTAGTTTCCACGCGATGGCTACTGATGACAAAAATGTTTATGTTTTTGGTGGAGTGAGTACTACAACACGAGTCAATACACTTCATGCTTATAACATCGTTGGTCAAAATTGGACTCAGCTCCCGAATCCTGGCGAGTCTTGCAAAGCGAGAGGAGGACCAGGGCTCGTAGTTGTGCAGGGGAAAATTTGGGTTGTGTATGGATTTAACGGGGATGAAGTAGATGATGTCCATTGCTATGATCCTGCTGAAGCCTGAAGGTAAGTGGACTAAAGTGGAGACAAGCGTTGAAAAGCCATGGGGGAGGAGCGTATTTTCGATAGCGGTTTCGGGGAAATATATAATTATATCTGGAGGTGAGATTGATATGGACCCAAAGGCTCATTTGGGACCAGGGAAATTGACCGGTGGGGCTTTCTTGTTGGACACGGAAAGTTTGATGTGGGAGAAGCTGGAGGATGGTCATAGTCCACGTGGATGGTGCGCGTCCACGACTGCTTGCATTGATGGAAAGACAGGTTTGTTGATGTATGGAGGCAAGTCTCCAACCAATGGTCGTTATGATGACGTCCTATTCTATGGATAGGCTCTGATTAAGACAGTTGAGATATCAGTGTTGGTGAGTTTCGTAAGTCTGGTATGTTGCAACATATTAAGGAGGGATTTGGTTTGTGAGACTTAAAGACTCTTGCTTGGATTGTCAACATTTTGTGTGTGTGTGTTAAAGTTCTATTGAAATATTCTGAATAAGTAACTATGTATATAGTTACCTTCCTCTCTTGAGCCGTAAAATAAGGTTCGTGCGTATGCGTGGGGGTCTTTTTAGTGTGTGTTTCGTTTGCATTTGTGCACATGAGCAATGAAAAGATATGCCGGTTTGCAGATTTGGTTTGATTCTCGAAATTAGAAATTTGTTTTTCTTAGTTTTCTTTTATTTCTTTGAAATGTTTTGAAATAACAGTTGCACTTGTTGTACAAATTTTTTTTTTGAATATAATTTAACATTATTTAAAAAAAAATGAAAAGATATGTTTTCATTCAGATTAAAAAAAATATGTTGAAAATGTTAAAAGTTGTTTACACTAATATTAAGATTTTTAGAGAGATAATGCCATGACCGCGGGTCGTTATCCGGGTTGATGTTTTTGGGTCAGATCAGATCTTTCTAATTGTACCAACTATAAAACCGAGTGATATGCACTTTCGAATGGGGAAGAGTTATCGAGCTACCTCATGCAGTCCGTTTGACTTTAATTTGTGATTTATGAGCTGAAAGATCGTGTTGAATTTGTGACCTCTTGCATAAAATGTCTTATCGTATTTACGGTGGCTTGAACAATGGCCATGAAACTCCATCCTAAGGGGGCACTACTGAGCCTTACCATGTAATAGTCCTTTTTCGAGGGACCATAACATTTTTTCACCTTGCTCTTCCATCAACTAGTCAAGGCCTATCTGATGTCAAAAAAAAAAAAAAAAAAGTCAAGGCAGAGCAACATTATAGGGTGATCTTACACCCCTTTTCCTTACAGAAAAGAGCTTGCATAAGATATTTTCTTAATGAAATGGGGGGGGGTGTAAGATCCCCCAATAATGATGCTCTGCCTTGACTTTTTTTTTTTTTATAAAACATGTTATAAGTTGTAACTAGATTGCTATACAAAATTCACCCCAAGAAAACTATAGTTTTATTAATAACAATAGACTGATTTAATTTGCTTTTAAAGTAACCATAAGGTGAGTTGCGTATAATTTTGTAATTTTTCTTTAGTGTAAGAGCATCTCCAATGCAAGTATGTTAGCAAATTTCTTAGTTATAAAAGGTAAAAAAATAAATCAAAAATATGTATTAACCTAAGAAAAATATCTTAGTTAGAAATTTTGATGTTGGTTTTTAGTGCAAGGTGTAGGCAATTGATTGGTTTGAGATTTGTACTTCAAACTTATTTTCAAAGAAGCTTTTTTAATTATAATTTTAAAAACCTTGAAGTTAGAACTTTGCCATTGGAAGCATATATTTCTTTTCATCTTCAAAAATTTCTTAACTTGATAACTTATATTTTTTATAATTACAATAATGCTAAAAAACTTGTTTACAACTTTAGCATTGGGGATGGTCTAACAAATTCATGGTTTCTTGGATATATATAAGTTAGTTAGACAACGTGGGAAGCATTTCCCCCACATTTAAAACGAATGTAACCGTTTCTGAGAGTTATAACTACTATCGCTGTCACAAGAATATAAAGAGTTTGTATAGTTGAGGGTTTCTACTTCCACTATCCACCAACCTGACAAATAACTCTCATTCTTCAATCGTACTCTCTTTTACTCAGGTTACTATTTCTCTCTTCTTTTTGGTTTTACTCTGTCTCTCTCTTTCTTTTGGAGCTTTCTTGACTCTTGATTCACATAACTTATAGCTAGTGAGTACTACGTACTGTATTTCAAAGAACTTATAAACAAAAGCAAATTTTGTCAAGCAAAGGGATCATATAGTGTGATACATCCTTCGTTTTTGAACATATAAATGATATAAACGATCTTTATTTATTTTAAGTGAAAACATATTTTTTGCTCCTTTCTTTCTGTAGTTCATAACGAAAAAAAAAACACATTTGGTTCGTTGTTTCTTGTTTCTAAATGTGTTTTATGAAACAAGTTTTTCAATCTTTCAGGTTTTCTCTCTGAGTTAAAAGCTCCAAGAAACAATGTCTCAAAAGGTGGGAGCGATGGGTGGTAACAAGGGTGTAGCGTTCGACGATGGTGTTTTTGATGGTGTTAAGAGAATAACTGTTGGAAAAGATTTTCGCAATGTAAATTATATCAGGATCGAATACGAAAAGGACGGAAAATTCGAGATCCGTGAACACGGGACAGATTGTGGTCGATTACAAGAGGTAAGGAAATATCAAGACTTTGTTATATATTCTTAAATTTGTTCTTATCAAATCGGTAAGGAAACATCATGACCTGTTTGGTTTTTCATGGAAAATGAAATATAGTTTTCAGTGGATTATCCGAGTGAATATATCATAGCCGTTGGTGGAAGCTACGATGATATTTTTGGTTATGGAGCAGCGTTGATCAAATCTTTACTCTTCAAAACCTCTTATGGAAGAACATCTCCCATACTCGGTCATACGACGTTATTAGGAAATCCAGCTGGGAATGAATTCATGCTCGAGGGTAAAAATGGAGGTAAACTTCTTGGTTTCCATGGACGTTCTGGTGAAGCTCTTGATGCCATTGGACCTTACTTCTCTGCTGTGGATTCGTCTTTTAAGCACTTTAAACTTCAAGGTGGGGATGGAGGGTTTGCTTGGGACGATGGTGCTTTTGATGGTGTTAGAAAAGTGATCGTTGGACTAAATGGTAAGAGTGTGGGTTATGTAAGGTTTGAGTATGCGAAAGGCCAGAGAACCGTACCGCATGCTCATGGACATAAACAAGAAGCTCCAAAAGAGGTAACTTGGTATAAAAGCTTTGTGTATTATCGTTTGTACTGAGATATTTAGCTTTAAATAAATCGGAGAAAATTTTATTATTTGGTTGTAGTTTGTGGTGGATTATCCTAATGAACATATTACATCAGTGGAGGGGACAATTGATGGTTACCTGACGTCTCTTAGGTTTAAGACATCAAAAGGAAGAACCTCCCCTGCTTTTGGGACTGTGGTTGGTACTAGATTTGTGTTTGAGGAAACAGGTTTTAAACTTGTTGGTATTTATGGTCGGTCCGGTAATGTTATTGATGCTCTTGGTGCATATTTTGCCCCTCTTCCCGTCCCAGCTCCAGCTCCCACTCCTACTCCCATTCCAGCTCCAGCTCCGGTACCCAAAAAAAGTGTGAGCAAGATCTACATTTCATCTGGTAGTGGTGGAATTGAGCAAATCAAGTTTGATACTGTCGAAGACGGAAAGACAAAGGAAGGAACTCTACATGGTGTTGAGGGTAAAATTGTCATGACCATGGTACGTTAGCATTATTTTTTTGTCACAATCAAAAAAGTTCTAGACATATTAATTAGGATATTGCTCACATCTTCAACTATGTTTTCCCTGAAACTTCAGGTTGCCGTAAGCAATTATCCTGATGACTATCTTGTTTATGTCGAGAGTTGGTACGACTCTTACAATGTCTTCCAAGGAATTAAGTTCAAAAACGACAAGAACACTTCTGAGTTCTTTGGTTATAAACTGTCTGAGTATGATGGTACACCATTCTCTCTTCAAGTCAAGGATAAGAAGATCACTGGATTTACTAGACTCGCTGACTCGAATCTCAAGTCTCCTGGGACTTACTTTGTACTTAACCATACCGTGGCTCCCTCTACTTCTAAGAAACTACAAGCAAGAGGTGGTAATGGAGGAGCTTCTTGGGATGATGGTGTTTTCGACGGTGTTAAAAAGATACTTGTTGGTCAAGGAACCGATGGAGTAGCTTTTGTCACGTTTGAGTATAGCAAAGGCTCTCATGCAGTCCTCGGTGATGGTCATGGGAAGAAAACTTTACTTGGAACTGAAACGGTTCGTCTTTCTTCTCTCTAATCTCTTTCTCTAGCTTCTCCAATGCATTAATTGATTTCTTGACCTAATTTTGATCTTCTTGTTTTTTTTTGTTTTTTTGTTTGTTTGTAGTTTGAGCTTGATTATCCAAGTGAGTACATCACTTCGGTGGAAGGTTACTATGATAAAATCTTTGGAGTTGAAGCTGAAGTGGTAACGAGCCTAACGTTCAAGACTAACAAGAGAACATCTCAGCCGTTTGGAATGACTGCTGGAGAACATTTCGAGCTCAAGGAGGAAGGTTACAAGATCGTTGGGTTCCATGGCAAAGCTAGTGCTGTGGTTCATCAGATCGGAGTCCATGTCGAACCCATTTTCACCAGTTATAGGATCACGCTTTAGTTTCTTTGCTCTAATGATTTCGTAAAAATAAGGTCCACCGGACCATATGCTTATGGATTTGTGTGTTTTAGTATCAATGCTTTATGCGAGCGATCATGTGATTTTCTGCTTTAATGGTGTCTTGTCCCTTGACGATTTTAATAAATGATGTTTCTCTTCAATTTGTTTAACCTTGTCCCTCCTACATCAAATCACTCAATACTTTCAAAACCATCGTAATTCTCTCTACTTCTACTATATTGGGCCAAGCCTTCTTCATAAACTATTGTTGTAGATTGGGCCAAGTTTTCTTTATAAACTATTGTTGTAGATTGGGCCAAGCCCATAAGAACATTGGGTCATGTTTTAGTACATTTGACGGGCGTATGTTAGCAAGATGTATCTCACCGAGTACGTTAGCACTTAGCAGTAACTAGATTCTAAACTAAGCATTAAACTGAGAAAAAGCCTCCGTCTCCTCTCTCTTTCTTCTCTATTCATCAGCCTCGGCCTCTCTCGTTCGTCGACTCACTTCTCATTTTTTTTCCTCCTCCGATTTTAGGGTTTTCCAAATCGCCATGTATCGCACGGCAGCTTCACGAGCGAAGGCTCTTAAGGTCCGTCCTTGTATCTTTTCCTTTTACTTGTATTTTTTTTTTCTATCTCTATTCGTAGAAGATTCTGGAACGATTTGGTCCGATTCAGTGATTTCGCATTACACTATCCAGAAAATTTCTAGATCTGGATTCAGATTATTGGCCTCACTACCGGAGATGATGGAACTTAGAACTGTGATTTGTTTTTTAAGGCTTGAAATGATATTTTTCTTAGGTCAATCCATTGATTTAGATGTATAGAGATGATTTGTTACCTGGTAACTCGTTACGTCAAGATCATGAATTGGTTATTTTCGATCAATTGTTTGTATTATTTCAATCAATTCACCTAATTTGCCTTTGATTGATACCAATAAAAATGGTTTCTTGTGATGTGATGTATTTTATTCCTGTTTTGTTAATAGGGAGTCCTTACTCGTAGTTTGAGACCTGCACGTTATGCGAGTTCTAGTGCTGCTGCGGCGACGACTTCTTCTACCCCAGGTTACTTGAGCTGGTTGGGTGGTGGCTCCTCATCTACCCTTACTTCATTGGATATGCCACTACAAGGCGTATCACTTCCTCCGCCACTTGCTGACAAGGTCGAGCCAAGCAAACTTAAGGTCACTACGCTTCCAAATGGTCTCAAGATAGCGTCAGAGATGTCTCCGGTATGTAAACAAAACTATGCTAATGTCTGGTTTTGTCTGAAAAAATCTATGGAATTGCATGATGTGAACTGAACGAAGTTCTGTTTATGCAGAATCCAGCAGCTTCGATTGGTTTATATGTTGATTGTGGTTCTATTTATGAGGCACCTTATTTCCATGGAGCTACACATTTGCTTGAAAGAATGGCTTTCAAGAGCACGTTGAACAGAACCCATTTCCGTCTTGTGAGGGAAATAGAGGCCATTGGAGGCAACACATCCGCCTCTGCATCTCGAGAGCAAATGAGTTACACTATTGATGCTCTTAAGACCTATGTCCCTGAAATGGTTGAAGTTCTTATTGACAGTGTAAGAAACCCAGCATTCTTGGACTGGGAAGTGAATGAAGAGGTAATTCAATTTTTCCTTTGTGCTATTTTTATTAACTGTGTGAAAACTTTTATGTGACTTTTTGCCATGTGTTGATGATCATTTCCGCAGCTACGGAAGATGAAGGTAGAGATAGCGGAACTTGCAAAGAACCCTATGGGTTTCCTCTTGGAAGCCATTCATTCTGCTGGTTACTCTGGTGCACTGGCAAGTCCTCTGTACGCACCAGAGTCTGCTTTAGATAGATTGAATGGGGAGCTCTTGGAAGAGTTTATGACTGTAAGAATGCATGAAACCATCTATGTCTCAGTGATTACAATTTATTTACTTTAGTTTGTGTCCTATTTATGTGTCTTTTTGACTCATTAAATCTGGGAATATCAGGAGAATTTCACTGCTGCACGGATGGTACTTGCAGCAAGTGGAGTAGAACATGAGGAACTTCTAAAAGTTGCTGAACCATTAATGTCTGACCTACCTAATGTACCACGCCAACTGGAGCCAAAATCTCAGTATGTTGGTGGAGATTTTCGCCAACATACTGGTGGAGAGGTATTCATGACAGATTTCCCATCACTGGACGAAGCGTGTCTGAGATAAAGGTGTTTTTATGTTGAATTTCTTATTGAACTTTTGTTGTTTCATTTTCAGGCTACACACTTTGCAGTTGCTTTTGAGGTGCCTGGCTGGAATAACGAGAAAGAAGCAGTCACTGCCACTGTTCTCCAGGTGTCTAAATTGGATTTTTTTTGTTGTTGTTTGCGTTAACTTTCTCTTCTTTCAATCATATTCTTTTCAAGAGTGAAGATGTAGTATAATGTAAGTCTAATTGCTATTAGATGCTTATGGGAGGAGGTGGCTCATTCTCTGCGGGAGGTCCTGGAAAAGGAATGCACTCGTGGCTCTGTAAGTCAAATCTTGTATTTTTTCTTGAGCTTATTCTAATATTATTTGTTGAACTAGTTCACTAGACATTCTCTTGCGCTACTAATCGGTCAGTAGTAGTGATACAAATTTCTTCGTCTGGTTACAGATCGCCGTGTTCTAAACGAGTATCAGGAGGTTCAATCATGCACTGCATTCACTAGCATCTTTAACGACACCGGATTGTTTGGAATCTATGGTTGCTCGGTGAGTTCAGCAATCTTGATGTTGCTTACTATGTTTTTCCTTTGATCACTTATCCACCTTTCTCCATTAATGAGATGTGTACTAAAGGACTTCCAGTTTTTGTGGGTTTAAAGCTTTGTTCAATTTCTTTAAGTTGACAACTTCATTTCCGGATATGTACTCTGGTATATATAATGACATGATTTACATCCATGTGTGCAGAGCCCTGGGTTCGCGGCAAAAGCAATTGAATTAGCAGCTAAAGAACTTAAAGATGTTGCAAATGGAAAAGGTTTGCAGTTTTGTTTCTTCCATTTTCACTTAATTTAACAAGTTGATACCATTCGTATATATCTAAGAAACATTCTTCTTATGTTTATATGTTGGACAGTTAACCAGAAACATCTTGATCGTGCCAAGGCAGCCACAAAATCTGCAGTTCTGATGAACTTGGAATCTCGGGTATTCTTATCTCTCTCTCAGCTTCCACTTGTATAAAACTGTTTGCCTTATAAAACATGTTGCCAGTTTGTTGAACTCGATTCAAACCATTAGATGTTATTAACTTGTTAAATCGGAATGTCCCGTACCAGATGATTGCAGCAGAAGACATTGGTAGACAGATACTTACATACGGAGAGAGGTATGTCCAGGCAAAATTTCATTCAAAAACCTGAAATAGCTCACTCCTAGCTTCGTATTAGCTTTCTTCCACACCTGACATCATGATTTGTGATTTTTTCCAAAATCTTGCAGGAAACCTGTTGATCAATTCTTGAAGACAGTAGACCAACTAACCTTGAAGGACATTCAAGACTTCACCAGCAAAGTTATTTCAAAGCCTTTGACAATGGGTGCCTTCGGAGATGGTAAAACAAGTTTCACTTTTTTCATATTAATCCTATGATTTTTAGCTTATTATAGATCTTGAGTCTTAATAATTTTGCCTGGTCTTTTGTTTTTGTTTTTTGGTAGTGTTGTCTGTTCCGAGCTACGACACCATAAGCAGCAAATTTTGTTGAAGCAAACCAAACAAAAAACAAAATCAACAATATTTTGGGACTTGTAAAATAAAGAAAGATCTTTGGGAGGAGAAGAAGACGAAATCAACCAATTTTATTTTTTTTTGCAAAATTTACAGTGTCGTATTTCTCTATTAAATGGATTTTGTTTCCATCTGCTGTTAAAAATTGGCAGACTTTTTACTGTCTGTCACACTCCAATTTTCAGAAGTATTTTGTATTCCAATAAATAATCTTTTACTACGTGTAATGCAAAACAACTTCAGTGGTATAAATCAGTATCTGTAATCAGGGAGAGACTGAATTCTATAAATCATCAACTAATCATGTAAACAATGTTTTCAAGAAAGAGAGAAGTAAAAGAAATGTAAAACTCCTACAAGAATCGTAAAAATATAAAACGAAATTTGTTATCGAATAAGAAAATGTAAAGTCTAATAATAATATTATTAAGTAATGTAAAACAATTTGTATAAGAAAATAAGAGATTGTAAACTTTGAGCAAAATGTTAAAAACACTTGAAGGATGACAAAAAATGTAAACTTATTGAAAAGGAAAAGTACTAAAAACTCATAGCAACAGAAAAAAAAAAGAGAAGAAAAATGGAAAGTATTATTTTGATTAAAAACTAATTATATATAGGCAATAAAGCTTTATATATTTCTCAATCTCACTAACATCATTCACAATTGAAAAACAAAAAAAAAGAAAAAAAAAAACTCATATAGCTGGTTAGTAAGGATGCATCAAGAACTCAATTTGGAATTAGGTTTAGCTCCATATGATCCATGGATTGTAAAGAAGAAATTAACCGAGACTGATCTTAGTTATGGTGGTTCGCTTATCTTACCGAAACAAGATTTTGAAACAATACTTCAGGAGATGGAACGTCGCTTCGTCGAGAATTTGGTAAACGGTGTTGAAGTGAAGGTCCATATTATAGAGGAAGGTCATGAATCTGATGACTACACATTAACGCTGATCAAGTGCAATAGCAGCTATATGTTGAGAGGAGGTTGGTACAATATTGCTAAGTCAAAAGGTTACAAACCAAACGATGAAATCGGACTTATGTGGGATAAGTGGTCTAGGCGATTCTTGTTCCACCTTATTAAGTAGTAGTAGTACTAGTCCTTTTTTTATGGTTATTATTATTTTAGTTTTTTGTTCTCTTAAGGGTTTACAGTTTTAACTACAGTATTTTATTTCAATGTGGGGGGTTTTACGAGTCTTTTATGACAAATAAAAACAATATTAGTTTGTTTCTTTCAAGTTTCAGTTTATTCAACCTAATTATCTACGTTACATGGAAACTCTTTTCGAAGTGCGTTTCCCGTTTCCGAAACGTTTAAGAAACAGAAACTCTCGGAAACTCGGAGACTACCCATGGAAACACGATTCCTAAAAATTTTCATTTGGAAACTCGATGGAAACTCTTGTTTCCGCTTTGGAAACTCTCGTTTCCGTTTTTAGATTAAAAAAATATAAAATATAAGATATATATTGTGATTAAAAAAAAAGATTGTATCTATCTCTAATAAAAAAAGATATATAATTTCTATAAATATAAATTATGTCCTAATCATATGTGGGATGTTGGAGGTGATCAATTTGATTCACTAAATTCTAATCTTGGGTGACTTGAGTCTGAAGATCTTTCTCTAAACGAACCTGATTTAGAGGCTGTTTTATTTGATAAAAATGATAACGGCGATGCTGGTCCAAACATTTGAATTTGAGCGTTTTAGTATTATCTTTTAGAGTTTTGTTTAACTATTTAGTATTTATGTTTTAGAAATTTTTTTTTTTTTAATATAGATTTTATATTTGGTATTTTAGTATATATATATATAATTATATATACATACGTTTCCAAAACGTTTCCATTCCTTAATTTTCAAAAATTATCGTTTCTCGTTTCCGAAACGTTTCGTTTCCGTGCATGCGTTTCCGTTTCCATGCAACCTAGCTAATTATTCATACTGTTTCTATGATTTTTTTTTTTTTGCAAAGAATAAAGAAAGACAACATTAAAATCTATAACAATTTTACTTTTAGAAAATCAACATGTTGCAGTAAAACAAAGAAAAGTTAAATGTTAAAATCATCATAATACAAAACACAATAAAGAAAAATTTGGTGTAGCGACTTTTTTTTTTTTTTTTTTGTATTTCCAAATATAAAAAGCATCCAGAAGTTCAAAATAATTATTATAAATCATTTGACATTAATCACCTTTAAATAACTGTTTAAAATATCTTCTTGTGATACGGCAATGCCCAACAAGTACACGTACCATTCAAATAGTATTATTACAAAAGATACAAAAGGAACTTCGAGTTGTTGATTTCTTATAAAAATTAAAACTTTTTAAACTACCAACATGTTTAAAAGATTAAAACACATGTATATAGGATGACAAAATGTAAATATTGTCTTATGTCAACAACAACAAAATATGCAAACTTCTTAAAAAAGGAAAAATAGTACAAAATCGTAAAATATGAAAAAGAGAAGAAAAAATGGAAAACTTACTTTGATCGAAGATATTCTTGTTCACATATTGATCGAAGAAAAAATAGCCAAAGTTTAAGGGTTTCCGTGAACGAAATAAAATATCTTGTTAAACTTTAGGGAAAATTGATTTTAAAGGATGTTTTTTTAAAAATTTGTCCTTAAATTTTTTTTTTTAAATTTGTCCTTTAAAAATAATTTAAAGGAAAAACATCCTTTAAAATATAAAGATACAGATGTAAATTTTATAGAGAGATAAAATATTGGTGCTCAAAGAAAAATATTAGAGAGATAATATACTAATACCAAAATCATGAAAGTATTTATTATTTTTTAATTATTTTATATTCATTTTTCATCGAACACGAACAAGATATATATTTTTATAAAATAATATGTAATATGTTTTTGGGAGGATAAAACAATACGTAATTATTTGTAAAATTTACATATATCTAAATTTACATTATTTGTCAAAATCTAGTTAGGGCAACAATGTGCTGACGGTATTGATGATCTTCTTCTTCTTTGATGAACTCTTGTTGGCCTCTTGTAGTACCTCGTACTCTCCATGTCCATAAACTCTTTTAATGGTAATAAAGATGTTGTTGATGATGATCTTCTTCTCTCTTCTTCACATCTTTCTTTGACTCTGAGTTCTCTTTGATCTTTCACCACTTGAGCCTCTTCTATGTGATCATCCTCCATTAATGATTTCTCTTCGTTGATTATCTCTTCTTCAGCATCCATGAGGCTTGATTTATAAGCTTCGTCTGGTGATGGCTCATCCGAGCAACTATAGAACTCTGAATCCGTTACATTCTTCTCTTCCTCTTCATTCACCTGAAGATACACACAAGTCCAAAAAAAACATTATGTTTCCAATTAAAAAATATATATATCTAGTGATCTTGATTACACTAATATACATAATGACAAGAAATATTATTACGTTACCTGTTTATCAATCTCAGGTGTATATTTAGTCCTTAATATTTTTAAAGGACGACCAGACTCCTTTGCTATTTCATCCAATAGATTAGACTTCACATCTTTGGATACCGAAGTTATAGACAACTTCTTTTTGCTCTGTGTTTGAAGAGCCTCTTCAATGTAATTATAATCATCCTCTATTGATGATAATGTCTCTTCCTTGCGTACCTCTTCTTCAAAATCCGTGAGGCTGAATTTATAAACTTCGTCTGGTGATTTCTTATTCAAATCCGAATCCATTACTTTCTTCTCTTCCTCTTTATTCACCTAAACACACACACAAGTCCAAAAGTAAAATTATGATACCAAGAAAAACACAAACATCTTGTCATCCTTTAACACCAATAACAAGAAATATGAAATTACCTGTTTATCAATCTCAGGTGCATATTGAAGCCTTCCGCAGAGATCATACTTCTTAGCTATTTCATCCAATCGCTTAGACTTCATATATTCAGGTACCCAAGTCATCCACAATAACTCTTTCATCTGTGTTTTAGAGATTTGCTAATATTGATTATTATGATGCAAACAAAAATTAACAAATAAAAAAGGAGAAAAAAAAAAAAGAATATAGTGAGAATTAGGTCGAAACCTCATGGCTAACAAGATGCCCAGGGAAGAGCCGAAGAGCTCTTGATACGTATGTTCGACCGTAACGTTGACGAAAGAGATCTCTAATGCTAACTAGTTCAGGTACTTCTTCTCCACATCTCGTGGAGGCAAAGACAAGACTCGAGACTGCTTCGTTGATCTCGTCATTCAAAAACTCTCTGCATGTTTATTATTGAATATATATATTAGTACGTGTATGTTGTATTTCGCTAGAACCAAGAGAGAGAAGCAAAATATATGTAACAAACCTGTGTTTTTCGATGGAGGAGAAGTGGAGGATGATGAGACTAGTGAATTGAAGCAACATGTCGTATACTATAACCAAGTTTTCAGCTAGGATAAGCTGTTCGGTTCGATGGAGGGCATATTCGGAGTGTTTGATTTTGAGCAAGACAACGATGTCGCTACGTAGACTTCTTGCTAATTCGCACTTCTTGTTCTTGAGTAACTTAAGACGAGATTGAAGCTGTTCCAACAACTTCATGCATGTGGAAGCTTTTCGCCAGCGACAGAACACCAAACCAAACATTGTGAAAGACTTTGTGTGATGAGTTTATGGGTTTTTGTGAGTTTGTTGTGTTGTGACAGCAAGGACAAGGATGCATGTGTATTTATAAAAGAAACCCACATATCCAAAACCAACTTGGAATGTTTAAAGATACGATATAATTGGATATGATCTGTTATAATAAAACAGTTTATATTAAAAACCAATACTAAAGACAAATAATTTAATTACATGATCCGGAAAAAAAAAATATTGTCATTGCAAATTTGCAAGTAAGGCGGCTACACATATCTCAAGAGAGAATCGGTTATGGAATGAGTTTTTTTTTAAGCTTAATTCATTATTGATAATAAATAATATTTTGTTTCAGTTGATGAATGATGATAAACATTAGTACTAAATTGCAGTAAATATATTATCAGATTTCTTTAAACCGACATGAAAGTATTTAGGGCATGTTAGGCGGTGACAATATCAATTAAATTAAAGATGTGTGTGCTCTTCTATTCTTCAAAGTAATTGTGATTATTTTGTTTTCTTCTAATTAAATCTTCTAATGGGGATAATTAATTCAAAATATTCATATTGAACAGGCGAGGATCTCGGTCGCAGTAAATCTAATAGTACCGCTAAAAATCTAAAAAGACGAAAAAACGAAAAAAAAATACTTTCATGTCGGTTTCGTGTTACACAAGAAACTTAGAAATTTCTGGAAGGCTAATAATACTTTTACAGAGACGAACCACTTGTGCTAGATTTCACAAATAGTACTTCAGTCATGTTACAAAATTGGTAACTGTTTTATGTTCATTTTAAGACATCAAAATCAGAATATAATTAAGCAAGACTTTAATTTAATGTTGTTTCATCACTTTGTGCTGCCTCCATAGATATTTGAATTCTGTTTTCCCAAGTTAGTACATGTCCACAACGGTTTCTTATATATACCGAGTTTCGATTATTTTTGTTATCACGAACTCCACCAAATTATCAAAATAGATTAGTTGAAGTATTTACCTGAAAAATTCTCCTTCAAGTCTCCATTTGCCATGTATTCATAAATCAAAGCCAAGTTTATCTCCATCATCACATGCAGTAACCAACAAGTCCAACCAAATTTCTACTTTGGACTCTTCATAGTAGTTCAACCAAGGATTACAAACATAATTTTCATTTCAAAAACTTAATTCAAATTGTTACCTCTACTTTGAAATGTCTATAGTCTTGACCAGCTGATGAATGAAATAGCATTTTCACAGCTACACGAGTACCATCCAAGTTTCCATAATACACTCTTCCATATCCTCCTTTGCCAAGAACTCTCTCAAAGTTGTTTGTCATTATATCCTTAGTATCTCCGAATACGTAAACCGCCGCTCCTTTGCCACAAAAATGTAAACTTCTTCTTGTGTCGACCAAAAAAAAGTAAAAAATGCAAAATTCTTAAAAAGGAAAAGCTGTAAAAAAAAAGAAATGGAAAAGAATAGAAAAAGAGAAGAAAAAATGGGAACTTGCTTTCATCGAAGAACTCTATACTGTATATAAACAGAGGTAATAAAGCTTTGTTTCTCAATATATCTTACTACTATCATTCACAAGTGAAAAATAAAATATTCATATAGTATTTTTTTTCTTTTATTAATATTTTATAAGTCTTTATGACAAATTTTTTTTTTTTTTTTTTTTTGTGTGTGTTATCTACCATTCTACCAAGCAACATAATTCTCCTAGTCTTCTAATGCAACTTTACTCTTATAGCAAAAAAATAGAGACAATTCTGAAAAATAAAAAAATAATATGTTTTGCCCAAAAAAAATAAAAAAAATATGTAATTTAATCTGTTTTTGTTAGCGTTGTATTTGTAAAATTGTGATTAAATATTAAATCGACACAGGATTCCATAGTTACATTTAATCTTTTTTTATGTGACTGTAAAAACATTTTAAAAATACAGATAAGAATTATATTACATATAAATTTTTTGTTTCATAGATGTAATATGTATTTTTTTGGATGGTAAAATTGCAAAAATTGACCAAAACCCAAACCTTGGCTTAAATCGTGGAATATTATTTTGTGAGAAAACCCATATCTTTGTTTTGTGTTTGAAGAAACTTACGGCCCATCGAGGCCCATTTTAATATAAAAATCAGTCATCTCCTTTTACCTCTGTCCAAAACATCAAGAAAGAAGGAAACGCCGCAAAATGAAGCTTCTTCGCCGCCGTTTCTTTAACCCCGTCGATACAATCACCCGAGCAAACCGCCGACAATACGCCACAAAATATGTCGCTAAAGTCACTTCATCATCACCCTCAGGCCGATCTCTCTCTGCCGAAGTTTCTCTTCCTAATCCTCTCCCCGCCGACGTGCGTGGCTACCCTCTACCTCGCCGTCATCTCATCTGCAGAGCCACCAATCTCATCACTGGTGCCACTAATATCTCCGATGCTTTCTCTGATCTCTCTGATTACCTCTCTTCTCTCTCACTCTCACTCACTCCCGACGAAGCTTCAGAGATTCTCAAATCCCTTAATTCACCTAAACTCGCCGTCGAGTTTTTCAAATTCGTCCCTTCTCTTTGCCCTAACTCACACAATGACCCTTTCCTTCACAACCGCATCATTTTGATCCTCTCTAGGTCAAATCTCCCAGACAGATTCGATCGTGTTCGTTCGATTCTTGACTCCATGGTTAAATCTAACGTTTCTGGGAATATATCAACTGTGAATATCTTAATTGGTTTCTTCGGTGACACCGAAGATTTACAAATGTGTTTAAGATTGGTGAAGAAATGGGAGTTGAAGATGAACTCTTTCACTTACAAGTGTCTCCTTCAAGCTTACTTAAGATCTCGTGATTCTTCTAAAGCGTTTGATGTGTATTGTGAGATTAGAAGAGGAGGACATAAGCTTGACATATTTGCTTACAATATGTTGCTTGATGCTTTAGCTAAAGATGAAAAGGTACTGCCTTTTTGAGAGCTCTCACTGTTTTTATTTGCAGAGATCTTAAGTAAAATTGAGTTTCATGTATAATTGTGTGCAGCCTTTTGTCAGATTGATCAGGCTTGTAAAGTTTTCGAAGATATGAAGAAGATGCATTGTAGAAGAGATGAGTATTCGTACACGATTATGATCAGGACTATGGGGAGGATTGGGAAGTATAATGAAGCCGTTGGTTTATTCAATGAGATGATAACTGAAGGGCTTATGCTTAATGTTGTTGGTTATAATACTCTGATGCAAGTTCTTGCAAAAGGCAAAATGGTTGATAAGGCAATTCAGGTTTTCTCTAGGATGGTTGAAACGGGTTGCCGACCGAACGAGTATACTTATAGTTTGGTTTTGAATCTCTTAGTAGCTGAAGGTCAGCTTGTGAAGTTAGATGGAATTGTGGAGATGTCGAAAAGATATATGACTCAAGGAATATATTCTTATTTGGTTAGAACGCTAAGCAAATTAGGGCATGTAAGTGAGGCTCACCGCCTATTCTGTGATATGTGGAGCTTCCCTGTGAAAGGAGAGAGAGATAGTTACATGTCGATGCTAGAGAGTTTGTGCGGTGCGGGTAAAACCATTGAAGCTATAGAGATGTTGAGCAAGATTCATGAGAAAGGTGTAGTTACTGATACTATGATGTACAATACTGTGTTCTCCGCACTAGGAAAGCTAAAGCAAATATCTCATATTCATGATCTCTTCGAGAAAATGAAAAAGGATGGTCCTTGTCCGGATATATTCACCTACAATATTCTTATATCTAGTTTTGGTCGGGTAGGAGAAGTTGATCATGCTATTAATATCTTTGAAGAGCTTGAGAAGAGTGACTGTAAACCCGACATTGTTTCTTATAACTCTTTGATCAATTGTCTGGGGAAGAACGGTGATGTTGATGAAGCCCATGTGAGATTCAAGGAGATGCAAGAAAGAGGATTAGACCCTGATGTGGTTACATACAGTACTCTGATGGAGTGTTTTGGGAAAACAGAGAGAGTCGAAATGGCATATAGATTGTTTGAAGAGATGCTTGTTAAAGGATGTCAACCGAACATTGTGACGTACAACATTATGCTTGATTGTCTGGAGAGGAGCGGGAGAACCGCGGAAGCAGTTGATCTGTACACAAAGATGAAACAGCAAGGACTCACACCTGATTCAATTACTTACACTGTTCTTGAACGGTTGCAATCTGGCTCTCACGGAAAATCCCGTATCCGTAGGAAGAATCCAATAACTGGTTGGGTGGTTAGCCCTTTGTAATTCAGCGAAATGAGGTTTGAGTATGATCCTTAGCTGAAGAATGGAAACTGCCAATTCTTGAGTTTCTAATGCACTTCCACAAATACTGTTTCTCACTGTATTACTCTGCTTGATGATCATGTTAGTATTATAATCTGGGGAGTGCTGGCAAGTTTGTGTCAGTACTGAAAATTTTGAACTAAGAGAATAACACATTGGTGCTTGAAGGCTTTGCTCTTAGACTATTGTAATGTGTTACTAATGGACCTAATGGTTGATGAGGTCTTAGAAATTTTCTGAATGAGAAGAACTACATTTTCAAGAAATTGCTGGTTAAGGAGGGTTTATCAATGCTTGCTTGTTCTTGAACTTGTGGAATTAGAAGTTCAGAACAGAGTTCACATACCTGGCTTAACCAAATTTGAAAATTTTGAAACCTAAATTATCTAAAATAAATTGCTAAATTAATGAGGAAGAGACTGTTCTATAAAATCATGAGAAAGAAATGTACAATGTTAAGATGGCCAACAAAAACAAAAAGAAAAGGATGCTTAAAAATGATAACAACTCCTCAAATCAGGTCATAGGAACAAGAATAGCGTGGCGGTTGCTGCTGCAACATACTCACGCTGCTAACGCTACTCTTATACGCCATAACTTCATCTAGCGACAGCCTCTGCCTCTCAGATCGCTGACGCGGCACGCTGAGCGAACGCACCTTGGCCTTAAACGACTTTGTTTTCTCCATGTAGCCAGGAGTACTCAAACCACTTCCATAGTCGCACGATGTGTTTCTACAAACAATCTTAGCAGGAGACTGCATTGCATAGTAGCGATTATTAGCAGCATGGTGGTGCATCAATCTTGGAGTGTTCTGTGCCGAAGCAAACTTCCACTTCTCATCTGAGAAACTCAACTCCAAATCATTCCCTTTGTAAACACAATCGTCCTCATATTCAGACATTGCAACAACATTGTGCACTTGTCTAGACTTCGATCTCGAACTCGATCTCCTCTTGTATATATCATCAATCTCTACAACTTTCCGACTCCTCTCATCGCACGCCCCTTCATCATACTTATCCTATAAACAGAAAACGCAGTTTAGCAGATGGATGATGATAAGTATAAGAGAGCCAATGGAGAAATGAGATAGTTTCTTTACAAGGGACTGTCGAGGTTGAAACTTGTTGCTGCCGTAATCTTTATTAAGGCAGCGGCTGATACGTTTAGATCGCATAGCGGTTTGGACTCTGATTAGAGCTTGTATGCTCTGAAGCATCGCAGCGGCGCGTTTCCTTACCAAGTATCCTCTCACTAGAGCTTGTAGCTTCACTATACCTTTCAAAGCTCTTAATGCTTTCCTCGCCTAACCATTATAAAATACAAAAAACTGTTACTTAACCCATTTGCAAACATATCTCCTTTGAAACAATAATCTAGTAAAATATATATATAAACTTAAACGTTACTCATAAGAAGTTTTGAAGATTGAGAAATTACCAAAGAGCCCCTGAAGACTTTTTGTATTTTCACCGCAGCCCACCGGTCTTGCCTCTTGATGACATCTCCCGCTCTTCCTTCACTAGACAGTCTAACCACTGTCTCCGCAGCCGCTTTAGCCGACGAAACCGCTGCTTCCGCGGCTGAAGCAGCAGCGTTTGCAACCGCAATCGCGTTCTTGTTCTGTTCTTTTTCTGTATCCGTAAGATAAGTCCTCAACCAAACAGAGTCCTCCTTCAGAGCATTGAAGTCGCCGGAATGGTCGCCGCCTTTGTCGGAACCACCGCTTCTTTCTATACTCTTCTTTAAACCAAACAAACCCTTAAACCATCTCGCTACTCTACCCATCTTTCGATATGGAAGAAAGAATCAAGAACACTTGTATTTTTTTTGTATTCTGTGATGTAACGATTCAAGAAAAGAAAACAAAAAAATGTTAAAGAATGATAAATTCACGAATACCCAAAAAGTATAACGTTTTGAATGCAGCATAGGAGAAAACAAAATATTTTTCATTGTATTTAATTTGAAATTTATTTACTTTCCAATTTTGTTTTTATCAATAGTTAAAAAAATAAATTGTCAGTGGTTATTACATTTCCTCATAAAAATCCAAAAGGTTTTCACCATAGAACATTGACATAAATAATTGAATATAGCTAAAAGAAGAGTATTACTATGAACAAAATGGATATGATTTTTAAAAAGGTTCTTACAACACTGTAAATGTAATCATGGGATAATACAGAACACTGGACAGCTATGAACTGACAATACTTGTAATCTCTCTTTTTAGACCCCAAAAAAAAAAAAAAGTTTAAGAAATCATCATTTATTTAAAATAAATTAAATAAAATCGTATGCAGAATGCAGTAGTTGCATATTTAGGTGAATAAATATGCGAATTTTGCATATTTCACAGAGAGTTGAATTTGGTTTTAAAGAAAAAACAAGATTCAAAAAAAATAATATGATCTGACACATCCTCGTGAAAAAAGTGAAATAGAAGACAAAAACGATATCATACATAGACAAAAAAAAAAAAAAAAAAAAAACATAAAATATTCTTAATTATGTTTCATTGGATTCGAGTAACAATCGATATTTTTTCGTATATGAAAGAAAAAAAGAAAAAGAAAAGTAGAACTTGCCTTCAAATGATAGAAGTGATCTCACTACCTCCTACAAGATTTTGCTTCACACAAGACTAAGAAAAGAAAAAAACCTATATTGACTTAATGTTGTTTTATATGGAGAAATGTGTTCAAAGAGTCCCACAATTATCGTAATCCCCATAATTAAGTTATTAAAAATCGTGATATTCACTTCTATACTTATAACTCTGTTTTTTAAAAGAAAACAAAAAACACTGATTAAGATGAGATTTGTTTCTTCTTAGTGGCTTAAACATAATCAATGCACTGATTGATGGGTTTAAATAGGGCAAGTGAACGTTTTACGGATGGTTTTTTAAAAATAATACTCTCAAGTAACTTTTTTTTTTTTTTTTTTTGGTAATGAGTAAATGAAATACACTACAAATGTATGATTCGGTGGATCGGATATAAATAAATGAGTCAAAGTAAAGAGTAGTATTAGTTCTCTACATTGACCAAAGTATCTCCAATAATGGGCAATGACTCTCAACTAAAATGATATTACAACATTTACAATGCGCACACACCAAGTTTTTATGTCCACAATCTTATTAGTAGCTGTACTAAACACAAATCCTAATTTGACAACATCATTTCTTATCATCTTCTTTTTTTTTTTTTTTTTTTTTTTGATTAAAGGCTTTTCGACAGCAAACAAATATGACCACCTATCATTAGTATTGAGCTTCCTTTTCCTAAACTTGGGCCTTTTTCATTGGACATTTTTTCCTAAAATATTTTGGAATATAAAGATAGGAGTGGTCCTAAATTGTTGAGGACAACACAATTGGCCATCATCATGTCATTGTAGACTTCAAAAGAATATATAGAATGAACCTTTTCTAAGGCAAAAAAGTAACTATTAAGTCTCATATTGCTGCTTTGGAATAGTTTAGACTTCATTCAATTTAGTCTCTTTTACAATATTCCATAGCCACTAATGTATACATATGAAACATCTATTTACCTTTTGTATCTCTAATCTTAACAAACGCAAGAGCTATGTTACAGTAAGTAAAGTTTGAGATGCTACATGCACAAGACAAAGATGAAAGATGTTTTGGTACATTGGTTTGAATATCTGTCCTAACAACTCATTTAAAGAAAAGTTGTTCAAGTGTTTTAAAACCTTTCACTCTCAAAGAGTGTTCATTACAATAGGGTTAAGTAGAGTTAGCTAATAAAAGCTAAAGAGCTTTTGGCAGAGAAAAAAAAAAGATTGATTTCTTTTTCCTTTTTCCAAAAAAAAGATGCTTTGTTGCAGACATATGGAGAGTTACAATGCTTAAAGGTGATCTCAAAAGTGTTGATCAAGTGTGACTAATCATTACCAAAGCTTAAAAACAGATGAGAACAATGCCTAAAAAGGGTTTGTAAATTTACTTTCAAGACCCAAAATCATCATTTCATTGTTTGGTCTTGAACTCCAACAGAACCCAACTCATCTATGATATCTCTCTCAAAAGCGAAAAGAAGGATGTAACAAACCAGAATGTACATCAAACTTGAATCAGAAACTCGTCTAGACCAAAAAAAAATCTCATCAAAGGTTAAAGACAAAATGCAATTAATAACATCTCTCTACTTCTTTAAAAGCTGTAAATGATATTTTCTTCATCTTCTCATCTTCTCCTGCTTACCATTTCCATCTGCAAAGATTCAAAAACACTTCTATAACTTCGCACATAAAGAGTCATGAAGACACAAGTAAACATGATTTCAAATCCAACACTTACATGTTAGTGCTGAAGATATCTCTGAGGTTTTAATCACACGCAGCCTCTTCACAGAAGACACAAACATTCTGACAATTAAGAAAAGCTCGGTTTTAGTGATCTAAAAGTCCACAAACTTTAATAGCTTTAACCAAACTAAGTTCGTTATTGATCAAAGTGTGATTAGATATAATAAATATGTGACTAGGAATCTAATTCCTCTCCCTTTGAAAGAGCAAAAAAGCTGAATCAGATTCAGAAAAAGGAAAAAAGAAAAAGATTCTTACTGCCATGGGACATCTCCTACAAGCATCTTGTCTCCTTCATTGTCTTCATATGTAAGAGTATATTCTCCATTCCCATCTAATAATCCAGTGATTGGTTTCTCATCTTCTACAGATGATGATAAGTCTCTTTGAGCTGATTAAATCAGAACAAAAATAGTCAAAAGAATAATCTTTTCTGCCTTTCTAATAATCTTTTCTGCCTTTCTAACAAACCCAATCTTTGTCATAATCAAGAAAGAGTTTCCAAGGTTTCAAATTTACCAGCAAGAAGACCTCTGAAGAGCTTGTCGACTGTGTAAGATAACTGCTCATAGCTATCATGCACACTGAGATCGACTTTACGACCAATGGGAACACCATACATGTTGATCTTCACAAACATGCCTCCTTGTCTCATTGGTTCCATTATCTTAGCATCATCATCACACTTTTGGTTCTTGAGGGCAACACCATTGGAGGTGGTTGAGTCGTTTCCAAGCTTTGAAGAGCTTCCACTTGCTAAGTTCTTCCTGAAGGATCGAACCGGAGGCCATCCCACCACTGGACCAGGAGCAGTTCTGTAAAGTCACAGAGTCACCAATACACAACTTGTTAGAAAAAACAAGAACAGTCTCAAGATTTCAAAAAAGGAAAAAAACAGAGCAAATACAGTGAAGAATCTGAGGTAACAAGAGCAGGTAAAAAAGACTGAAACTTTCAGATGTGAAAAGGGTAAAAAGATCAGAAAGGTTAAAACTTTCTTATTTGAGATCCAATCTTAAGGAGACATGAACAAAGTCTTTGCAGATAGATGGGACCTTATTGGCTAATAACAAGTGAATATCTTCATGACAAAAGAACACAAAACAGATAAAAACAAACAAAAAATAGAAAATTCAAAGAGTTGAAGTTTTAAAAACCTTTTATGGGATGTGGTTTTGGTTGAAGAAGGAGAAGAAGAGAAGTGTTTGCCAGCGAGAGAGAGGATAGATTTGTCTTTTGGTTCTTTCTTGAAGTGTCTTATTATGGAAGAAGCATGTTCGTCTTCACCACCAGGTGGTCCAAGCTTTAGCTCAAGTTTCCTCTCCTCTGTATTGAAAACAGAGTTTTCGTCGTCGTGAAACCATGGTCTTCTGCTCTCTTGTGTTATCATCAAGTTCAAGTCAAGCAGCTTCGGAGCGATTTCACCGTTTCTATGACAACCCTCCATTTAAGTTTATAGAGAAAGTAACGTTCTTGACCACAAAAAGAAGAAAATTATAAGAAGCTGACAACTTGTTCACGCAAAAAGAACAGATACGTCTACGAACCCATCTCTGCAACTAACTACCCAAAAACCTTTGAAGCAACTTAGAAAACGAAAGAGAGAGAGAGGGGGAGAGATGGAAATGGTGTGAGAAGCTAGAAGAGAGGTGATATAAGTGGGACTTTTATACAAAAAAATCAAAGCTTTAAACTTTTTGAAGAGGAGAAATGTAAAAACTTTATGGTGGGTTTGAGTTCTTCTCTTCTCTTCTCTCACATACACTCCCTTTTTACTACTTTTGTGGTTCTCTCTCGAATATGGAATTATATAACAAGGGGAGAAAGAGAGAGAGAGACAGTGATGAAACCAGAGGATAACAACAAAGGGATCAAATTGAAATTTTACAAGAATGTAGTAAAATTGGCGACCAAGCAAAACAGTGAAAAGAAAATTATAAAAGAAAAGAAAATTTTACAGGTGTGAAATACACGCAATCTCAATCTTTAAAGAAGTGTATGTAAGGGAAGTTTAGTGGAGGAAGCAAAAGCGTGCTAATTTTGTTTTCTTTTATTCCTCCCCAAAGCCTCATTAGGTCTCTTTTATTTATATACTCCTAGCTCATTTCTTTATTAGCTTCAAAAGAGGGTTTACATAGGCATTACAAAAAAAATACAATTACTTTTGTGGTTGACAACATAACATATAGGACTAAACATAATTCTTTTGTTAAAGACCTCAAAATAGTTAAGAAAACATATATAAAAAAAGTAGAATAAAGAATTGAGTATATATAATAAAGAAATAAACTATAGGAAAAAAATGGGTTGCCAAAAAGAGAAATGGAGGATTCGACGATCTTTCTCTGCTCTGTTAGGATCACACACTCCTATCATCATCATCATCATCTGACTGTCGCCCATAGCCATAGGACTTACTTACTTACACATATTCCAATGTTTCTCAAATATCTATTTGGACATCTTACACGAAACCCCTTCTTTCTATTTCTTTATCGTTTTGTCGCTTTTTATTCCCATTTTTTTACGACTTCCCCCAAATATAAACCAATAACAATAATAAACTCAACTTGATACGAGGAATGTATATATTTTAGATCGATAGAATTTAATAAACTTCATGAATCAAAATATAATAATTATTTTCATTTATTCTACTAGTACGTATCTCCCATAACGTTCATTGTAAAAATATATCAACATAAGGACTATTTATGTTGTATTAATAAAGAACATATTTTTAACTTTTGGTTTTGAACCATTGGATATGGTTGTTTGAGACCGACCCGAACCAACCAAAAAAAAAAAGAGTCCGACGCTAGTGGAGAGTTTTGGTCAAGTAAGTAAGGCTAATATGGGGATTTTTGGTAAACAAAACAAAAAGATTATACTACAGAGGTCAAATCTTGTCTCCGTATTACCAAACTCCTTCAAGTTTCAGACAAAAACTGACAGACACAACACAACCTTAATCACGGTTCCTCAATAGTATTAATTACTCGCTCACTCTTTACTCTTTTAATTTTAGGTCTAATTTTGTTTCAAATCATATCTACTTGTCTCTAACCTTTATGTATCTTGGAGAAAAGGCAAAACGCGGACACAGTGTTTTGGTAGATCGAGCGTTTTGGTTAATGGAAGAAGCAAGCAACGTGGCAGTATAAGAGATAAGAGTAGCATTGAGAGTAGACGACAGAGACTAAAGAGGGAGAGACTAAGAGATAGAGACCGAATCTCTGATACTGACATTGGCGGTACTTTTTTCTCTCTATCTGGACGGTAGACAAAAGTTGTACAGTGTGTTTCCAAATTTTTAACATCTCCCCTACTCATAAGCCTTTTCAATCACGTCCCTTGAATCTCATACGATATATACCACAACCAACGGCTACGATTACTATCGTACACACCCACTTTGAAAAAGATATATAGCCGACTCCATCAGAAAAAAATAAGTGGAAAGGAATAAAAACAAATCGTGAAATAAATGTCAAATCTGAGAAAAACAAAGCAATAGTACTACTACTAAGTGGTAAAATCAAATGTAAATAAAAATGGAATTATTATTATTTTGTTCTCCTGCACTTACTTACTACTATTTGTATCATACCCAATTCGATAATAATGTTTTTGTGTTGTCAAGTCTATAATGGTTATGATAAAAGCCGTATCTATTTCGTGTTTTCAATTATTTTGTATGCATTTTTTTTTTCCATAGTGCAAAAAGATTCGTTTTCTAAATCCCAACGTGATAATTGCTTTGTGCGCCGAGTGTTCTTTTTTTGTGTGTGTGGAAGCTTCATGCATTGTCGCTTTTTGAATGCAATCTCATTTTTGCTGGAAGATTTTTACTTACAATTTTACTATTTGATGTAGCAAGTAGCAACAGCATCATCTAGAAACAATCATGAAACTCAAAATCCTTACCAAACAATATATGTTTATATACATATATAGTCTGGTAGTAACCATACTAACTCTAATATCCATTCAATGAATCTACTCCTATATTTTTGTAATCGACCATGGGCCTAATGATCTGATTATGACAATCACAAAGTACCTTTAAAACTTTCGTTGGGTATATAAAAGTAGCATGCTTAATACTTTACTGTTTACTCTTCAATTGTGATAATAATCGGAAGCATCGAAGATGATGGTCGCAAAGTTCTCAACCACAACCCCAACTCCTAAAGAGTGTATTAGTTTCTTTTATATTCTCCAAATAATATATTCATCTGAGGAAACTAGAATATATATAAAGGCTTTAGAACTATATAATCAAACAAACATGAATAGTTGTGGATACTCATTGTCAATACCTAGAGAATGATTCTAGAGCACATATAGGATTTCTCATTTATGGACATTCGAATTAGTGGAGAAAATAAAATGGTTTATGTCTTGGTCACATGTCTTAACTCTTAACAATAAAACCATTCATCGTACGTAAGTAAACAAATTTGTCATTAATTTTGTGGACGGCAAAATTGTTCGTATAACTCATTCGTTTTTGTGAAAACGTTGTAGAGATTTAGATCCACTCTTGAATGATAAAAATCATTATTTGCGATAAGATAAGATCTCATGTAAACAAGAACAAAATAGAGACTATTAGTTGATAAATCATGTCCCCAAAAAAGGATAGTAAACTATGTCAAAACAAAACAAAACAAGTAAACCTATGTTTTAATGTTTCGGCTTCTTCAATCATTCATTCTCCCTAGTATGATGGTCCATGGACTCACATGAAAATAAGGTGGCCCAATTAGTAATCAAAGCCACTTAAAAAGTTTTCGTTGTGGTCCAATTCACAAAATCCGCATACACACCACTGGCAAGACTAGTACAAGATGACGTTGAACTCAAGAATCGTGAAATGTTGCGAGGGATGTAGTATTTGTTACTAGTATAAAACTAAACTTATGATTGATTTTGATTTACGATCTGGCTAACTTTAGAATCTGAAAGTAGAGAACATATGTGATTTTTACTCTTAACTCGGACTTTATTGAATCTTCTTCGCTTGCGTCAATTTGACTATTTATGACGAGAAGACAAAAAGTGTGACTCTCTATCTTTTATTTTTTGTTGTAATATTAGAAGAGGAACCTGACCATGAAAGGTTCCATAATGTGATCTGAGAGCTGTGTGTGTGGTGGGACAGAACCCAAACTGTCTTTTGTCAGTACCAGCTCATTGTTCTCTGTACCTTCCTTTTTTAAAAACTCATCACTTTGCTTAAATCTTTGATTAACACTTAAACCTTATTGAGAGTTATTGTTTTTTTCTTAAAACTGTCGTTTTCTCAAATCTTTTTCGAGTATCATTACTTCCGAATCGATAAAGCACAAAATATTCAAAACTTTTTCTTAATTAAACATGTTGACTGTTTTTTTTAATAATAATAATCCATTTCTACCATCATTTTTTATTTTTATTTTTATAAGATATTAGTCATTTTCTACCTTTGTAGCCTTTTCCAGTTTTCCCCATGTTATCTGTTTGTTTTTTTCAACAAAAGCAATAGATTTTACTGTATGTACTTAATGTTATTCAATGCACTACCTAATTTATCGACTATTTTTTTTTTCTTCTTTAAAGATAAAAATTCTAGTTACAAGTGTTTTTATATAATTCATACATTAAAAAAGTATCATAATATGATAATATCAATATACTTTTCTGATTTAAGTTTAATATTTTCTATCATCTTTGATTAAAAAAGATAGAGTACATAAGACGTTCTTTTTCAAAAAAGAAGTATCTAAGTCGATAAATTATGTTTAATTTATACTAATAAACGATTTTAGATTTCCTAAAGCAACCTTTTAGTAGGTATAAGAAAACAAAACAAACTATTAATTTTATTCCTCTTTGACCTTGAACAGAGACTCTATGATCATCTTCAAGTCCAGACAATACAATAGTGACACATTAGGTATATTTAAACCAAACACCGAACCTAATTAACTCCTAAATGTCTAATCACTTTTACAAAATTCCTTCATATAAAATTTTGAGTTAGTATGATCATTCACATAAGATAATAATATATTTTCACAAAGAACATGGTCTTATTTTGGATTTTTAATAAGTTATTATTATAATTTTTAGACTTTTCCCCCTATCAATCAAGATTTTATCAGATTTTTTTTTCCCAGTCCGACAAGAGAGTGTGAGCTTCACTCCTTTCATCCATGGCTGATTTCATCTCTTGTCTACTTGTTTCTCATATCCATTAACCAAACCAACCAAAACCCAAATCTCAGTTCACCAGTAGATTCAACAAATCAAGCTTCTTACTTCCTTAATCCCTGAAAAAACCTTTCTTTTAGGTTTCTTCAATTTCTCTTTGACACAATGAATCTCACAACTTCCAATTTCTTGATTTTTCTAACCTTCTTCTTGACTCTTTTACCAAATTTCTCATCCTCAAAGCCAATGAATTGCTCTGACACTTCTCGTCTCTGTACTTCGTTCCTCGCTTTCAAACCAAACCAAAACCAATCTTTCTCCGTAATCCAAAGCATGTTCGATGTTATACCAGCAGACATAACCGCAGATACCTCCGGAGGTTACATCTATGTTAAAAAGAACTGTTCTTGTCTCACCACAACTCACCAATACGCAACGAACACAACATTCACAATCAGACAAAACGATGGATACGTTTACGATGCTGTCGTTTCTTCTTACTCTGGCCTCGCGTTTCCACTGAATACGTCTAGAGAATCTCGTGCTGGGGCGGTGGTTTCGGTTCAGCTTCTTTGTGGTTGCTCTAGTGGTCTCTGGAACTATCTTATGAGCTACATTGCGGTGGATGGAGATAGTGTACAGTCTCTCTCTAGTCGATTTGGTGTTAGTATGGATCGAATTGAAGATGCTAATGGGATGTTGAATCCTGATAATTTCACAGCTGGTGATCTCCTTTACATCCCACTTGATTCCGGTAAGAAAGTTTCAATCTTTATGCTAAAGTTAGGTTTTTTTTAAGATGAACAAGTTAGTGATCTTGAGTGTTTTGTTGTTTAAGTACCTGGAGAGCCTTATGAGACAAAGAAGATTAATCCTCCAGCTCCTTCTCCTGCGCCTTCATCAGCAATCAATAGCAATATCTCAGGTTTGGTATCTGTTTTATCTTGTTTTTGTCTGATCTGAATCTCAAGTTTCTGTTTTCAGAATCATGGAACTTAAATTTAGTTGTATGTATTGGAAAAAGCTGACCAGGTGAATCACACTGCAAAGAGTGGTGGTCATGTGCCTTATATATGGATTGTTGGTGGTCTTGGAGTTGTGCTTGCACTTCTTGTGATGTGCATACTTGTATGTATCTGTTTGAGATCATCTAGTTGCAGTTCCAGTGATGAAGATGGCAATGGACACAACTTCCAAATACTTAGAAAATCCGGTTTCTTTTGCGGTTCTGGTCGGTATAACTGCTGCAGATCCGGGGATTTTAGACAAACCAATGGTGATACTCAGAGTCATCATCAAGTTGTTGCTATTCCTAAAGGTCTGGTTTTTGGTTTCATCTTCTTCTGTGGTTTCTTTTTGAAAGAGTTTGTTGTTGTCTTAAGGTTTTGCTCTTGTATGAATGTAGCAATTGGTGATGGAATGTTTGAGATTGAGAAGCCTATGGTGTTTACTTATGAAGAAATTCGTGCGGCTACTGATGAGTTTTCGGATTCTAATCTTCTTGGTCATGGAAATTACGGTTCCGTTTACTTTGGTCTACTTAGAGAACAGGTTTGTGCTTCAGTCACATCTTCATTTTCGAGTTTTGAGTTGTCCTAATAGCTTTAATATTTGGTTCAATTTATCACAGGAAGTTGCTGTTAAAAGGATGACTGCTACAAAAACTAAAGAGTTTGCAGCAGAGATGAAAGTGCTTTGCAAAGTTCATCACTCCAATCTGGTAATTCTTCTTTTTTGGTGTAAAGTTCTATATGCATCTAAAATAATTTAAGATTATGACTCTTGGGTTTGCTTTTGTCTTGTCAAAGGTAGAATTGATTGGTTACGCTGCAACCATTGACGAGCTTTTCGTAGTGTATGAATATGTCCAAAAGGGAATGCTGAAAAACCATTTGCATGATCCTCAGAGCAAAGGTAAAGAGACTAATACCGACAAGAACTAACAAGAAGATTATGAAAATGATGATAATGATATATTTCTTGGTGTTCTTGAAGGCAATACCCCACTGTCTTGGATAATGAGGAATCAGATTGCACTTGACGCAGCAAGAGGTTTGGAATATATTCATGAACATACTAAAACTCATTATGTCCATAGAGATATTAAGACAAGCAATATTTTGCTTGACGAGGCATTCAGAGCTAAGGTCTGAGTCTGAACTTAAGAAAACCCATTACATGTTATAACTTTTATAGAGGAAAATGTAGTTGATCTTATCTTTGCATGTGTCTAGATATCAGATTTTGGACTTGCAAAACTGGTTGAGAAAACTGGAGAGGGAGAAATTTCAGTTACCAAAGTTGTTGGTACATATGGGTATCTTGCTCCAGAGTAAGCATTTAGAAACCTGAAGCGACATTGAGCTTTTTAATACAAGAACACTTTAGTGAATTCTCATATCTGGGACTCTTCTGTATTTTCTTTTGCAGATATCTAAGTGATGGTCGTGCCACCTCTAAAAGCGATGTTTATGCGTTTGGTGTTGTTCTTTTCGAGATTATTTCTGGAAGAGAAGCTGTTATAAGAACGGAGGCAATGGGAACTAAGAATCCAGAAAGACGTCCATTAGCATCTATTGTAAGTTCTTGGAGTTTACACATATTGAAGCATTACACTTCTTTGATGCAAAACTCATTCGCAAAGTCTTTCCTTTTTTGCTTTCTTGTACAATTACAGATGTTAGCAGCTCTTAAGAACTCACCAGACTCGATGAACATGTCGAGTTTGAAAGAGTTTATTGATCCCAACATGATGGATTTATACCCTCACGACTGTTTGTTCAAGGTAAACTAAGAACTGGATGCTTTAGTAGTTCGAAAAATGTAGAAACCATATGATTGTGTTTTTCATTGTGAATGAAATTTTGGTGGACAGATTGCTATGTTGGCGAAGCAGTGCGTGGATGATGATCCGATTCTAAGACCAAACATGAAGCAAGTGGTTATATCTCTCTCGCAGATACTCCTATCTTCAATTGAATGGGAAGCAACTCTTGCTGGAAATAGCCAAGTCTTTAGTGGTCTTGTCCAAGGAAGATAAAAAACAAAAACAATGAAAACCTTCGCCTTCGATTTTATCGATGATTCGTCGTAGCCTAGAAGAAGCTTAGTTTATATCTAAACCCAAAGATTGATCGCAGTCTAACTAAGTAGTTAGTTACAGAGACAAATCTCTCTATATGATTATTCATTTGGAGAATCAATGAAAGAGATGCATGAGTTTATATGCTTCAGATATTGCAATCATAGAAGCAAAAACATCACTTTATTTACTTACAATATATGGAGGATGATGCATGAAACAGAGCCATAATTTACATAAAAGTTTATGGAATCAATACTTTGTAACACTAAGTTGTTTCTTCTTACCTGTGTAAGAAGCAGAAGATAAAACCATGGCTGCGATTAAAACGATCTCCTTGATGCTGCTCCATGTCTTGTTATTATCAGCCATGGTGATTATTGAAGATGCCGAATCAATTTTTTTTAGTTTTGTGTTTATACTATCTTAATGATATAAATTAATCTAATAGTATATCTTGCGTTTCAAACCAATTAATGTTTCTTTTTGTAATTTTGTGTGTGTAGTAGATAATGTATTTGAACTCTATCCGTGTTGAATTATAGTCAGTGACGAAATATAAATACAATTTGGCATTAATTAAATTTTGACCAAAACTCAAGAAAACAGTTGACTTTGAAACCCTACTTCCAAAGCAAACGACGTCGTTAGGGTTTCTCATTGTTTTGGTACGCAAGCATGTGATCTTTCGCCTCTCGATCGTGTTTATTTTTTCACATGATTAGGAATCCAAATAACAAAAGGAAAGGGAAAATAAAACTCTAAATTCTTAAAAATGCTTTTTTGTTTTTGTAAACTATATAAATCACGTTTTGATATTTCTTCTGGTAGCTAGGAACGAACGAGTAACGTAGTGTGAGAGGGATGGACACTCCTCAAGAATTTCTCATTGTCTTCTTGATCATCGGCTTGATCATCACCATATTTTCTAACTGTTACAGTGGTACAAGTCCCCCTCCAGCGGGATTAGTACCTCCCGAGACAATCCACCAAACTCCACAACCTGATGAACAAGACATTGAAACCGGCCGACGTCAGAAGAAAACCCTACTGTACAAAGATATCAAAGACAAGGAAGGAGGAGAAGAAGAAGAAAAAGGTGGTAGTAAACGTTTTTGTCCGATTTGTTTGGAAGAGTACGAGGATGATCATGAGATGAGGCGATTGAAAAAGTGTGGACATGTTTTTCATCTTTTGTGTATTGATTCTTGGCTTAAACGGGAACGAACCTGTCCAAGTTGTCGCCGTTCTGTTGATTTGATCAGTTTACTGTCTTAGATTTCTAGGTTTTTTTTTATTTATTTATTACTTAAGTGAATATAGGTTTTGGTTTAGGTATCAAATATTGTTACATTAATCAAATTTCTCGTCAATGTTTGAAAAATCAAACTGATCAAGTTGACTTTGAAGCTTATGATTAGGATATGGGAAACTAAAGAAACAAATGGACGGATATTAAAGACTGTCTTTATTATTCTTGTTTCTTTTGTATACTCAAGATTTTGAATGTTATATTTTTCACGGAGCTTGAGAGCTGTGATGAGTTTGAGTGACGATAGGAGATGCACAACATCTGCAGCAACTTCCTAGCGGAGGTGGCTCACAACACACACAAGTCGGGCAAATCGGTCTTCTCGGTCCAATAGGAGCTGATGTAAATTACATACCAAGAAAGAATGGTTCATACATATCATTATAATACTAGCTAATCCATTGGAAACTATTTTAGTCATAAAGATAGATTTGATCACTTGAATTACCTCGTGGGATACGATTATATATACGAGTAGCCTTGCTTTGTGACAAGGGAAGAAGAAGTAGAGAGAAGATGAAGAGCTTCAGAAAGATGAATTTTCCACTTTGAAACGCCATTGATACTTTGCTTGCGTATGCTTAGTGCCTAATGGTATTAGAGGATTAAGGTATATCATATTTATATGGTTTTTAAAGATGACTTTTCCACAGTTCATTTTCAAATTCAAAGTCTCTCTTCGAGTGTTGAATGAGAATGTCAAAGGTGCCTCAAACTTTGACCAATCCCATTTTAATAATGATTCCAATTTAAGCTATAAGCCAAAACATGTATGACATGTAGTTCTGTATCCGAAACAGAGGATATCATATCATAATCAAAAGTTAGAATGGCCTGAGTGACAAGAGTCATATATATGAAACCTAATCTTTTGATTGCTTTATTCACATGTTAATACGATACATTAAACACATGATAATCTGTTAGACGAAATCAAAGTTGAAACATTTTTAAGGCTTTTTGGGGCATCGACATGGGCAGCAAGAACCTCGTGGAGCTGGTGCACAACACACACACGAAGGACATATGCGCCTCAGCATACGCCTTTCAGCTGCACATGAGAAAATAAAGAAAAAGATTAACCTAAGGTAAAACTCGAGGCATTTCTTATTCCATAAGACTAGCTTACCATCTAGATGTGCTCGTGTTGCTTGACATGGAAGGATGGGAGAGAGGACTAAAGCAAGTACAAGAATGGAAAGGAGGATGTTTGAGCTTGATCGTTCTGTTGTCATTGCACCTTTTCTGATGAATTTGCCAAGAAACTTAATAAGGTTTCAAATTGCACTTTAAGACCATAGTAAGATTTATATAGGTCAAAAACAAGAAATTACTCGTTGGATGATATCTATTGAAAATCAGAAAATTAGTTCTTACATTTCCTTTTTCTTTGTCCACTAGTTTTTTTTTTTTTCCTTTTTTTTTTCTTTATATCCACTAGTTAATGGGATATTTATAGTTACGATTTGTACACCGTAGATCTACTTTTACTTGTGAATTATACCTTTTCAAAATAATTATGTTGGTGTATTTTCTGATATTAAATGTTTTATTAAATTTTGGTTCTACCTTTCTGAATCTTGATTGATGCTTTGCTTTGTTATACAAAGTGTAATAGGAGGATTAATGATTTAACATCATACTTATATGCGACTAATCCCACTGCCAATTTTAGGATTTCTCTTCGTGTGTTGAATGAAAAGTCAAGACTAAAGCACTTTTGTGTCCAAATCAAAGAAAGCTTTTGATTTGCTTATTCAAGAGTATACATAATACATAGATATATCAAACACATACACATGCTAGCAGAAAGCAGCATCACATTCATTAGGGATTAATGTTGGTGCAGCGGCATGGGCAGCAAGAACCTTTTGGAGCTGGTGCACAGCACGCACACGCCGGGCAAAAACGAATTGGCGGTGGTGGTGGTCTTCTCAGCCAATGCCCTTCAACTATATGTCACAATAACAAAAAATAAAAATTAATAAATTCACCTTAGGAAAACCGTGACAGATTGTTATTTCAAGAAGATTAGGATTGTTACCATCGAGATGCACTCGAGCTGCTTGACATGGAAGTGTAGGAGAGAAGACCAAAGCAAGTACAAGAACAGAAAGGAGGATGATTGAGCTTGATCGCTCGGTTGCCATAACAACTTCTTGATTTTAAAAAGAAATGCGTACAGATTTGAAAAAAGATTTCAGATTACAGTTTGAAACCATGGTAGGTTGATGTTTTTATAGGCCAAGAAAAAAACTTGCAGCAAGTTGGTCAAGAAGACTAACAAATAAACAATAGAGAGTTATGACCATTGACCATCCTTTGATATTTTCATATTGTAATATGGGGTATATCTTTTTTCATTTCACACTATAAACCTACGAGATATCGATATGAACATGGTGCAATGTACGTAATGAGTTGACATTTGTATTATATCTCTTGTCCATATGGAAAGCCAAAGAGATAAGCCTTGAAGAAGTTAAAACAGTATTCATCATTCATTGGAGACAGTTGATAGTGTAAAATGTCTTTCTTTTCTCCTTATCAATCTGTAGGAAACACAAGGGGACGAAACTTACAACTCAAGCTACAAAAACAGAGGAGGGTGCTTTATATATAGAATACTAGGGTTGGCAGCAAGAGCAAGATAGTGTTGGGCAAAGATATGTGTTGAATACTGTTGACTGTTGTGACTTTGTGAGATTCCCTGAAGCTTGGGAGAAAACAACGTTGCTATTCATATCAATGATATGTAGTAGACACGGCCCATTATAGGATGTAAGAAATGCCATTACAACTAGTTGTCAAAATACTTATTTATCATCCCAACTCTTTTGACTCTAGATCAGACATAAAATCCTGCGCAGCGTAAACTTGGATAATAATTAACTTTTAAAAGAGACCGTTCAACGATGGTTTTTTAATATCATTGATTTGTGAAAAACACTGATAGCAAAAGCTAAATTTTATTGGAAGCGGTTGTAGAATGCTGTAGAAACGTAATTTTTATTTCCACAGCCATATAGAGAACCAATCAGTCTTTGACTTAAAAAAACAAACAAATAAACCAACCAAACAAAGAAGGAAATCAATTATATGGACCGTGGGAATCATATTAGTATTTGATATATATCATCTTATTTTCCAACATATATGTTAATATTGTTATATTATTTCTTTTGGATAATATATAAATTTCTATCTTTATATATTGTAATTTACCTTTTATTTATTTTAAAATATTTAATTTTACAGTAAATATATAAAACTACATTGTACTACTAATATTTACCAATCATGACTTAAAAAAAAAAAAACAAAATTACGCCCAAAAGTCTAAAGGTCTTGAATGTTTTGTAGTTTTTAAAAGAGTTTTTGGTTTACGTTTTTTAAAAACTCATTTGTATTCCATTTAAGATGTCATGGTAAAAAATTTAAGAAATAGAAAAGACTATCACATTCGTCTTTATTTGTTTTTTCCCTAAATAATGGTCATCAGTTGAGACCTTTCTGTTAAGTGTTAACAAAGTCACTTAACATTGTCTCATGTGAGTCAATCTTCTAAAATTGCTGGAAAAAAGAAATAATAAATTCTAAAATAAATAAATAAATGTCACATTAAAAAATTGATTAAGAAAAGTGAAAAAATAAGAAGGTATTTTTTTTTTGCTAATGAAACTTTTTAAAAATTTTTAAATACGATATTTTTTATTTTTTTACGAAAACTATTTTTATAAAATCTTGAGTGGGTATAAGTTTTTCCAAAAAAAAATACTAAAACCCATCACAAAACTAGTAAACATTCAAGGCCCTAGATTTACAATGTTGTCTCTATTATATTTTTTTATATTTTAATTACTAATCGAGTTATCCATCGGCCCAAAGACTAACTAATCGAGTTATCCATCGGTCCAAAGACTAATATCAATATTATGCGGTCTAATCAAAAAGGCCCATTTCTTTTTTGAAACCCTATCTTGAAAAACCTTAAAAAAATTGATATATAAACCTAACATATTGTGTTTATTCTAAGAAAAATATGACATCCTATTTGGTCATTTTCTCACCGTCAAAACCATTTCAGATTTGTGCCAATTATAAATCTAATATGGGATTCACGTCTGTTCACCGAAAGCCAACTCTTTGACTAGAGAGATTACTTGTAGTGAAACACGAGATGGATGGCTTATTTCTTATTTAGCTTTAGGAGGTCCGTCATGGCTGCAAGATCGAGTCGAGAAGGTTTGTCATGGCTACATATCTCATTTGCTTTGTTTTTTATTTCTCTGTCTCTTTCTTGTACCCAACCTTCTCTTTGATTTTTTAAAAGTGTCTTAGTGAAAAGAAAAAAAAAATCTGGGGATTCATTAAAGATCTGAAAGTATGTCGCTAATCTCAAATTACTAAGATTCATCAGGCCTGTAATATGGAAGCGATGTATTTTTTGTTATGTTTTAATCGGAGATTTAGTGATTAGAATCCTCATATGACCAAGCTAAGACTATAGCTCATCGTCTTGGCCAAACAAACAAGGTCACCTTTTCATGGTGTCAATGTAAGATCGACTTACAACATTTTAATTTCATTCCTTTTCTATGTTACTAATTAGGTATATATTGTCTTATTTGGGTAATTATTTACCGATTCATACACCAAAGATATTGTTGAGGAGAAAATGACATAAATGATTATAAAAATGAAAAAACATATCTTTTTTAGTCATTTGGTTCATGTTTTCTTCAACGGTATCTCTGTGTAGGAACCGGTAAATTATTATCCAAAGAATATTATATATAATCAATTAGGAACATAGAAAAATGATATATATTGCAAGTCAATATCACATTAACGCTATGAAAAACTAGACCTAGGCGATGAGTTCTAGACATAGCATGCTATAAGGATTTCAGTCACTACAAAACCAATTAAAAACATGTCAAGATCACAATCATCTTACATGCATTGACGTCTCTACATCAAGCTTTGAGTGACATGGTTTTCTTATTTATAATTTAATTAAATATGTTTTTATAGTTATCTTTTTGTTTTTATTTTATATAGTTTTGGATGAAATGGGAGTAGCATATTTAAAAAGCTAAAAAATCCTTGGACATAAACCAAAAAGCTGAAAAGTGTCACAGTAAATTTCATAAAGATACACAAAATCTTGTTTTTGGATGATATGGAGAGATATATAAAATCTCTTAAAATATAGTGTGTCTCCAAAACACCTCCTCAAGACCCTTTGTATATATCCTAGAGCTGCGGAATTGGGTAGATCATCCGTGATCCCCTCTCTAATGTGTGTCTCCAAGGCACCTCTTAAGACCCTTTGTGGCGGAAGCACTAGCTTTAAAGACTGTAATCCAAGCAGCTATAGCAATGGGTGTATCAAGATTGGCTTGTTTCTCGGATTGTCAAGTTCTCGTTCAACTGCTCAACTCCAGAGGCCATGCAAATGAGATTGACGGTATTGTGGAAGATATCTATGATGCTATCGATTCTTTGTTGTCTTTTCATTTCATTCCGAGAACTGATAACACACATGCTGATATGCTAGCTAAATCAGCCTTGCTTTCTTGTAATTCTTCTCTAGAGGATGTCTGAACTTTTTCTGATTACTAGATGGTTTAAAAAAAAAAACATACATTATATATATATAGGTTTTTTATTTTTTTCTGGAAATTTAATTGTATTAAAATCTCAAAGTAGTTACCTAATTTTTGCAAAGTCAAACCCCAAAGATTGCTTTAAACACTGCAGTCATTCATGATCTAAAATCGTAGATGCAAAAACTAACAAAATCCAAAAACTGAATAAGAAACAACCAAAACCGTAAACAAGTCATTATATTCATGGTCTAAAATGTACAGCCAAAATTCTTAAGAACATCAATAATACTAAAGATGTGAAATCAAACGGTCAATTTTTTTTTAATTCATTACAATTTCGTTGCAAATTTGGCACAAGTCATCACGAATATTATTGAGGCAAATTTAATTCAGGATTGAATCATAAAACATAACATATTCAAGAAATATATATATACATATTCATGACAAAAAAAAAATTATATATATATATATACACATATTCAAGTGTTGAGATGCATTCATCAAAGAGTAGAAGTAAAAAGCACATCACATAACAACAACATCTTCTAATCGCGTCTACTCAAAGTCAACATCAAAGTTTGACTTCAACCGATGACTAAGCCGGTTTACTATTAAATTAGATATAAATCAAACCAAATCGATTTATAACTTATAAATCAATCCAACTTTTCAATTACATTAAAAATCGAATTAAACCGACCCGTAATTTTTCTTAACCAATGATTAACGATGAAAACCAAACTTAACTGAACTAATCAACCGGCTGCAGTAGTTCAGAGTTTCCAATTTTCTACTCTTAAGCTTAGAACATTGGAGACTCTGAGCATACCAAGATACATTGTTAGCTTTTAGCTCCTTTTTCGTTGTAAGGGCAAAATAACCAAGAACAGAGAGATAGCATTTCAGAGAAACCAAAAACAAGAACACATGCAAACAATAAAGAGTTAAGAAACGGATGAGTTACCTAAACAAATATGTCCATTGCTGTAAATATGAGGATGTAGTGGTGCTGGATGGAACAAATATCTCATGATCAAACACCAAAACACATCAAATCAGAACAGAACAAACAACCAAGCAGTAAAATACCACTATCTCAAAAACATGCAAAACAAGAAAAACACTCTGATTCCAGTTTATTAAACCCAAAACTCACAAATTTCAAGAAAACCCCTTAATCCAAACCATATTATGTCTTTCTCCAAAGACCTGAGAAAGTAAATGAAACAAGAACAAAGGGATGATATCTCAGTTTTGCTAGGAAATGCTTCTATCATGTCTTCCATCAAAGACCTGAGAAAGTAAATTAAACAAGAACAGAGGGATGATATCTCTTTTTAATCTTATACCTTATGTTAAGGAGTCATATAGTTCGACCATATGTCCCTGATGTTTCTACAAGCAAGTTTCAGTTCAAAATTGACCAAGTTTCTCAATAAAACTCTAACATGTTGATGAAAAAAAGGAACACAAATGACAACAACCAGCTTCCAAACATGTTCTTATACCTGATCTGAAACTTATTGATTGTACTTTTTGTAAGCTTCAAGAGTCTTGAATCAAGACCCATCACTGCAAGCCATTAAAATTCAACACCTCATTAAGGTCACATCGCCTAGTAGTCTTGCAATAACAAAAGTCAGCAATATAATCAGTTGATCTTCATATTTCACAAACAAACCAATTAACTTCTTCTCATAGATATATACAACAAGTCAACAACTAACAATCATTATGATCAGTCAACCAACCTGAGGAAGAATTGCTTGTAATTTTTATTGCTCCAAGAGATCAATATACTTCAGACCTGCAAAATTTAACAACAACAGTTACCTTCTGCAATCCCTTCATACTGAGCTATGTGCCTCAAAAATAGAGTAAGAATGCATAAAAAATTGCTGTGTAACAACTCTACTATTTTTCTCTTTTCTCTATACTATTATACAACGTGACCAAATTATGAGGTTGAGGTTACCATTTGCTATGACAGAAATCAAAACAAATGAAAAGAGATCGCAAAGGAATGCTTACTTCTGATACTTCCACTATGTGGTTCACGATCAACCAATCTGATAAAAAAATCCAGATCAATCTATATCACCCTGCAAATTTAAACAAAAGTCATTAGAAACCAATATTGTTGTAAACGTTACTATAGAATTTATTCTTCAACTTACCTCCAATATCGTATAATACAATACCACAAAATTAAAATGACCTCATTCCCTTAATTCTTACCTTCAAGTCACATGATTTCTTACTCATGCATCAACCATTTTTGATTTATAAAATCATCATATCAGAGTCTTTAACCCAAACCGAGGCATTTGGATAGACAATAAGGGACAAAGTTTCTCACACAGGCAACACCATCAATCCAGTTTTGATTTATAGACTCATCGTAAGAAGAGTCACAAACTGAGTCGAGGCATTTGAATAGGCAACACGAGATAAATAAAGAGGTAATTTAAATTACCTCATTGCATGCACTACCATCAATCCGTTTTCTGATTTATAGCTCATCATAACAGGGGTCTTAACCCGAGCTGAGGCATTTGAATAGGCAACAAGGGACATAGTTTCTCACTCACGCACCACCATCAATCCATATTCTGGTTTGTAGACCCATCAAAAGAGAGTCTAAAACCGAGCCGAGGCATTTGAATAGGCAACACGGTACTGATAAAGATGTAATTTAAATTACCTCATTGCATGCACTACCATCAATCCGTTTCTGATTTATAGCTCATCATAACAAGCGTCTTAACCCGAGCTGAGGCATTTGAATAGGCAACAAGGGACATAGTTTCTAACTCACGTACCACCATCAATCCATTTTCTGGTTTGTAGACCCATCATAAGAGAGTCTAAGACCGAGCCGAGGCATTTGAATAGGCAACACGGGACAGATAAAGAGGTAATTTAAATTACCTTATTGCATGCACTACCATCAATCCGTTTTCTGATTTATAGCTCATCATAACAAGGGTCTTAACCCGAGCTGAGGCATTTGAATAGGCAACAAGGGACATAGTTTCTCACTCACGCACCACCATCAATCCATATTCTGGTTTGTAGACCCATCATAAGAGAGTCTAAAACCTAGCCGAGGCATTTGAATAGGCAACACGGGACAGATAAAGAGGTAATTTAAATTACCTCATTGCATGCACTACCATCAATCCGTTTTCTGATTTATAGCTCATCATAACAAGGGTCTTAACCCGAGCTGAGGCATTTGAATAGGCAACCAGGGATATAGTTTCTCACTCACGTACCACCATCAATCCATTTTCTGGTTTGTAGACCCATCATAAGAGAGTCTAAGACCGAGCCGAGGCATTTGAATAGGCAACACGGGACAGATAAAGAGGTAATTTAAATTACCTCATTGCATGCACTACCATCAATCCGTTTTCTGATTTATAGCTCATCATAACAAGGGTCTTAACCCGAGCTGAGGCATTTGAATAGGCAACAAGGGACATAGTTTCCCACTCACGCACCACCATCAATCCATATTCTGGTTTGTAGACCCATCATAAGAGAGTCTATAACCGAGCCGAGGCATTTGAATAGGCAACACGGGACAGATAAAGAGGTAATTTAAATTACCTCATTGCATGCACTACCATCAATCCGTTTCTGTTTTATAGCTCATCATAACAAGGGTCTTAACCCGAGCTGAGGCATTTGAATAGGCAACAAGGGACATAGTTTCTCACTCACGCACCACTATCAATCCATATTCTGGTTTGTAGACCCATCATAAGAGAGTCTAAAACCGAGCCGAGGCATTTGAATAGGAAACACGGGACAGATAAAGAGGTAATTTAAATTACCTCATTGCATGCACTACCATCAATCCGTTTCTCATTTATAGCTCATCATAACAAGCGTCTTAACCCAATCTGAGGCATTTGAATAGGCAACAAGGGACATAGTTTCTCACTTACGCACCACCATCAATCCATATTCTGGTTTGTAGACCCATCATAAGAGAGTCTAAAACCGAGCCGAGGCATTTGAATAGGCAACACGGGACAGATAAAGAGGTAATTTAAATTACCTCATTGCATGCACTACCATCAATCCGTTTTCTGATTTATAGCTCATCATAACAAGGGTCTTAACCCGAGCTGAGGCATTTGAATAGGCAACAAGGGACATAGTTTCTCACTTACGCACCACCATCAATCCATATTCTGGTTTGTAGACCCATCATAAGAGAGTCTAAAACCGAGCCGAGGCATTTGAATAGGCAACACAGGACAGATAAAGAGGTAATTTAAATTACCTCATTGCATGCGCTACCATCAATCCGTTTCTGATTTATAGCTCATCTTAACAAGCGTCTTAACCCAATCTGAGGCATTTGAATAGGGAACAAGGGACATAGTTTCTCACTTACGCACCACCATCAATCTATATTCTGGTTTATAGACCCATAATACGAAGAGTCTAAAACCGAGACGAGGCATTTGAATTGGCAACACGGGACTGACAAGGAGGTAATTTAAATTACCTCATTTCATGCCCTACCATCAATCCATTTCGGTTTTATAGACTTATCCTAACATGAGTTTTAAACCCGAGCCGAGACATTTGAATAGGTTAACACTTCTAAAATTTCGGTGATAACAACGACATGATTGAAAAAAACCCAGCTTTATGACCGTCAAGAGAAATTAAATTTCATATCTGAGCCTATTGAGCAGCAAGACTAAGACAAGAATCTTGAAAATAATCAATAATGAAACCAGAAAACAATAATCTTTATGATTCACAACTCAAGCACAAAAACATAAAACAGCCAATGATAAATGCACAAATGTTAAATTATAAATAAGTAAACAGAATCTAACCTTTTCCATGTACTCTGCATCATCCGTTTCAGTGTATTGCATGGTCCAATAGTAGCCTGTTCAAATGTTAAGTTAAAGAAATCATGAGATCTAGTACTGAGTCTATCTATCTTGAGTAGTGAAAATTAGTTTGACTCGACATTTAATTAGCACAAGAGTGTTTCTCTCTCTCTATGCACCAACAACCACATTCAGCAAGTTGTATAATAATTGAAGTCTATGACAATATTAATCTAGACTAATAACCATCGTCCAGCTATAAAAGATGCAGAACACACACACACAAAAAATAAACAAATGTGTGGTAAAAAAAAAAGCTAACTTTCTAACAGAATATTCACAAATCAAGTTGCAAAATCAATATATATCCCAGTAAAGAAAGATCAGCAATGGAACTGTGTAACTCGTACCCTTTTTGGTAAGACCCAAAAATCCTAACCAGGACCTATGGAAACAAAAACATATGTCGTGAAAAGGCTAGCTTCCTGAAATTAAAGTCACAAAATTAAGCAACAAAATCAATACAGAGCAAATTAAATCACGACAAATAATGGATATGGATATTGGATTTTTCTTAACTCGTTCTTTCGGATAAGACCCAAAAAAAACCTAACCAGGAACCTAACAATCATCAAGCAAGCACAACGTTTGTAAAACATAGTAAGAATCCAACAATAAGGTATAAACTGAATAAGACTAAAAAATTCAATATAAAAACCACCAGATTCTCATGAGATTTGCAACGGAAGAGATAGAAAAAAAAAAATCATAACCTGATGGTAGAGGATTTCGTCGACGATACAGATCCATAAAGATTTTCGTAAGATGCGGCGGCGAAGAATCTCTATGGATCTGATAGGAGTGAGAGAAGCCGAGAACTACAGACACGAAGAATCAGAAGACCTAATTAGAGAAAAAGAACAAAACCCCTTTCATCGTAAGAATACGGCTTGAATAAGACTAAACAAAATCATGAGATTCGTGAGATTAGCAATGAACGGAAGAGATAAGAAAAGAACCTGCTACTAGATAGTTTCATCGGCCGAGTAAATCTCCGAGTAAGCCGAGGAGCGGATTTGATCGGAGATGGCTTGAGGAGCGGAGGAGATTGGGGAAAAAAATTGAAAACCCTAATTAGAGAAAAGACTTTACTTTTTTCGTTATATATATAAAAAGAGACTTATGAGTTTCTAAACATATACACGTGTCCAAACGACGTCGTATTTGTAACGGCTCTAAAGAAAAATCAAATATTCATTAGCTTATGCGTTCAAAATTATGTCATTGTGTAACGGTAACAAATAATAATTTGAAGAAACAATCGATACTCTTCAACTTCATGGTGATTTGTATTCTCTAATTTGACACATTTTTTTTTTTTTTGAATTTAACTCTTTGACACATTTTGCCTATTCATATAAATAAAAGACACAATATTTGCTGCTTGACATGGAAGTGTAGGAGAGAAGACCAAAGCAAGTATACAACAAGAGTAAGAAGGGTATGATTGAGCTTGATCACTCGTTTGCCATTGCATATTTTTATTTTATTTTAAAAAGAAATGCTTACAACTTGAAGAAAAGGTTTTAGATTATAGGCCAAGAAAAAAAACTTGCAACAAATTTGGTCAAGAAGACTAACAAATACTTTGTGTTTTTTTTTCACAAATATAAGCCAAAACCTCACAAAACTAGTAAACAAACATATGGTCGCAATGTATTAATTGATTTTTTAATTGGTTTTCTAGTAATTAGAATCTGACCAAGCTATGACTAATGCTCATATATCGTCTAGGTCAAACAATTAAGGTTACTTTTTCTTGGTGCCACTGTAATGTAAGATCAACTTGCAACATATTAATTTCATTATTTTTCTATGTTACTGAATAGTCTATATTGTCTTATTTAGGTAGTAATTTACCAAATCATACACCAAAATATTATTGAAGAAAAAATGATGGAAATAACTAATAATAAAAGATGCTTCTAGAGCATCTAGTTGTGGGAAAAATAAAAGAAGCATCCTTTTTAATCATTCTTATCATTTTTTCTTTCAACAATCTCTCGGTGTATGAGTCGATAGATCATTATCGAAAGAATACAATATAGGATCAACAAGTGACATTGAAAAAGACTGATATATATTGGAAGTCGATTTCACATTACCTTTATGAAAAATAACCTTAGCCGTTTGACCTAGACGATGAGCTATAGCAATAGCCGGGAGATCAATGTTAGGATTCCAATCACTACAAAACCAATTAAAAACATGTTAAAATAAATCACAACCATCTTACATGCATGATGTCTCTACATCAAGCTTTTCAATTACATGGTTTTCTTGTGTTTTCTATGTTAGATAAGTAATGAGTATGTATAATTATTTAAGGAATTGACTGTTTTAAACGTAGCGGTTGCGGGAGTTTGCGGAAACGACGGTTATGGTTTCAAGCATTGATCGATTGGTTTAGCAGTTGCAAAGGGGTACGTTGCAGGAGATTTCTAACTGGTTGATTAGCTGTTAAACCAAATAAATGTAATATATAATTGTGGAAAGTATAAAAACACTAAAAACTTTATTTATGAAAATATAAAGTTTTAAACATAATTATTAATTAAATATCTTAAATAAATACTAAATATAAATATAAATAATTATTCAAATATTAACCACATATATTTACAGTGAAAAATTATTATTAATATTAAAAATGAAAGTTAGAGAATAATAATGGTTTGGAAATTAAGGTTAATATATACAGGTTTTGATAATGTATAGTACATGAGTTAAGATGTGCTAAGTTGAATTACTTATTTTTTTAATTAAAAAGAAAAAGAAAATACAGTTATATAATACAATACTTTTTGTTTTTGTTTTATTTTAATTCATATGTCAATAAAAAATTATTCTTACTGATTTTATTTTATTATATAATTTTTCTTAAATAATTCTAAAATTTCTCATACTTTGCAAAATTATTATCTAAATATCATAAGACTGTAAATATTGTGGAATGTATGTAGTTAATGTTTTTTAATTTGAAATGTCACAAAAAATTAATTAATTTTTTTATTAAAATTTTTTTATTATTTTTTTGTATGTTTATAATTTTTTTAATGTATTCATTATTAATGTTTGAAATCTCTGGAAATCTTGTTTTCTAACTTTCTGAAAATCTACTTTTATTAAAATCTCAAAGTAATTAATTAATTTTTGCAAAGTCAAGAACCAAAATCTGGTTTCATTGAAGGCTAAAATCTAAAAATCTAACAACTAAAAAACCAAAGCCAAAGCCTGAATAAAGGAACAACATACATGACGTTAATTTTACAGCCAATAATCTAATATAATTGGTCGATTAACCGATGACAATGTGCTATATACTAAAGCGTGCATAATAGAATAAAAGGTGTGAATAAAGAAAACATTTGTTTTAACAAAAAAATAAAAATAAATATCACCTTCAAAAGTCTTTAATTTCTTATTTTTATCCAACAAGAAAAAATTTATTATTTATATATATTAAAATAAATAAGAGGGAGAGTACAGTATTTAATTTTATTATACAATCTACGTGTATCATGTGGATTTAGCTTCCCATACATTTAAAAAGATATATATATTCAAAAGTGAAAACCATTAATAGAATATAGATTTCCCCAGGAAAAAAAAAAAATCAGAATTAAGGATTGATAGATAAAAAGAGATATCCTAACATATATAGCTAGTATAGGTTTAGGGTTGTTTAATTTGTTAACAAAAAAAGTCTTGATTCCTTCTACCATACCAATCTAAACCCGATGCAAATAAGCGTCTAGTATTACAAGGCAAACAATGAACTTAAGGATTTGTAAATCGTGGAATAACAAGTTAACTAAACTTAGGATATAATAATAATTTTTTTTTTTTTTTTTAATGAGTATTGCATTATCTTCCTTACCATTTTTTAACAGTCATGAGTAGAATCAATCAAATTTTAATTTGGTTAAACTAGTTTGATTTTGATGAGAAAAATAAAATCATAAACCTGTGAAGAAAATGAGAAAAAAAGAAATAATAATAATAATAAAAATAAGAGTAAATAATTATAAATTACAAATTACCTAAGGTCCACTCGTTCATTTTTTCATAATTCATTTACCTTCTTAACTATTATTCATTCAAAACAACAGTCAACATTTGTAAGAAATATGCCATAAAAGTAAAAAATCAACTTATGGAAACTGAGATTTTTTTCCTTTATAAAAGAAATAATTATTTGTAACAAAAAAAAATGATTAGTTCTTAATATCTCATAGTATTTTTTTCTTTAATGTTTTTCTCCCTTTTTCTTTTGATGGTTTAGGTTTTTGTATAAGACAGGTTCAGATTTTGATCCCCAAAAAAAAAAAAAGAGACAGCTTCAGATTTTTTTTCTGTTTTGACAGAGCAACACTCTCGATAATTTTCTCCCTTTGCTTCTATTTCCTTATATATTATTATTCGATTACTGTCCAAATCTTACAATAACCTTATTAATCTAAATAAATATTGAAGATTTTCATCACAAAGTAAAAACCTCCATTAGAGCCAAAACGTAATCCAGAAGAAAAAAAAAATGAAGTTTATTAATTATAGGTTTTTGCTGCTCTTGATAATTATAGCTTTTGCCATATTTCAATCAGTTCAAGCTGATCAATCTCAATCAGGTTCTTACTCTATTTCATGAATTCTTGATATTTGTTACGATACCCTTTTTAATATCTCTCTTATAACTATCATGTTAAATCATAAACAGGATTTATAAGCATGGATTGTGGATTAATCCCTAAGAACACAAACTATACCGAGAAGACTACGAATGTAACATACATATCAGACGCGGATTATATCGACAGTGGAGTAATCAGAAGGATCAGTGATTCGTACAAGACAATGTTACAGCAACAGACTTGGACCTTAAGAAGCTTCCCTGAAGGTGAAAGAAACTGTTACAACTTCAATCTCAAAGCTAATCTCAAATATCTGATTAGGGGAACTTTTGTCTATGGGAATTACGACGGTTTGAATCAACTCCCCAAATTTGATCTTCATGTTGGTCCTAATAAATGGACTTCTGTTAAATTCGAAGGAGTGGCAAATGCTACGATCTACGAGATGATCCATGTCTTAGCACAAGACCGTCTTCAAGTTTGTCTTGTCCGAACAGAAAAAACGACACCGTTTATATCGTCCTTGGAGCTTCGTCTATTGAACAATAATACTTACGTTACTCAAAGTGGGTCGTTGATGTCTTTCGCCAGAATTTACTTTCCAAAGACTGCATCATTCCTCAGGTAAAGCAAATTAAAATGAGATTAAAATAGTTTAAAACACTATTTTATGTGTTGTGCAAAAGAATTTTCACTTACAAATTTATAGTTTTGATATAATCCAGGATTTTTTTTCTTAAGTACAGTAACTTAGTAAAATGATAATGCAAACGGAACGGGATATTCCGTTTGCTTTTTCAGTTGACGATTTTCTTTTTCCGTTTTCCTTTTTTCGTTTACTATTTCCGTTTACGTTTAATATTAATATTTGAGTGATAAATATAGTGTACCACATTTTCATGCTATGGAAACCTGTTTTGCTATTTTCATCATTCCTAACATTGATCACATATTTTTGCTATATATTATGTACAAAAATTGGTTTCATGATTATTTTACATAAAATTTCCCTATATATGAACGTAACTGAGAAACAAATCATTGAGGTCGAAGCCATATTTTGTAACTAGTAACTAGTAATTGTTGCTTGTTTTTAATTACATGTTGGTTTTTAAGAAAATGAAACCTCTTTGTCTCTCTGTTTAGGTATGATGAAGACTTGTATGACCGAGTTTGGGTTCCATACAGCCAAAATGAAACGGTGCCAATAAGCACCGAGCAACTGGTCGATACAAGTGCCAATTCCTACAATGTGCCTCAAAATGTGGCGAATTCCGCGATCATACCCGCGAAAGCTACTCATCCTCTCAACATATGGTGGGATCTTCGAAACATCAATGCGCAGTCATATATATACATGCATTTCGCAGAAATCCAGGATCTTAAATCTAATGAGACCAGAGAATTCAACATTACTTACAATGGTGGTGAGGTTTGGGGAAGTAACTTTAGACCTCACAATCTCAGCATCACCACAATGTTTAGTCCAACAGCATTGAGTTCTTCAGATGGGTTGTTCAATTTCACTTTTACAATGACCCAAAACTCTACTCTTCCTCCACTTATCAATGCCCTTGAGGTTTATACCGTTGTAGATAATTTACTCCTCGAGACATACCAAGATGAAGGTAAAAAATTCATTTAACCATTTTTTTATTTCAATTTATTTAAATTTTAGGACGTTTTATTAGTATTGTGAAAAAAGTGAATTAAACTTCTTTATCCAATACCTCATATGCTTTGTTTGTTTTTCTTTGAGTATATCAGTTTCTGCTATGATGAACATCAAGAAAACATATGGATTAAGTAAAAAGATAAGTTGGCAAGGAGATCCATGTTCTCCTAAAATATACCGATGGGAAGGTGTGAATTGCAGTTATTTGGACTCTGATCAACCTCTGATCACATCATTGTATGTTTTCTTTACAATCCATTTATTTAAATTTCATAAGTTTTTTTCTCCTTTAATTTTGGGGTTTTGCCAACATTTTAACTCATTAAAACATTAGGAACTTGACAACGAGTGGATTGACCGGTACCATAACACATGATATATCTAATCTCATACAATTAAGGGAGCTGTAAGCATCTTGTAACTATATATATAACACATAAAAACTTAACTATATGATATAATCGTCATCTTTACTTCTACAATGGACAGAGATCTATCAAATAATGATTTATCAGGAGAGATTCCAGATTTTCTTGCTGATATGCAGATGTTGACACTAATGTGAGTCTCTATTTTTTTTTATATTACTCTTTGCTCATTCTGCTCTTGTTTTCTTGGTTTTCTTGATTTAGTCTTTTTTTACCCGTCGCAGAAACTTGAGAGGAAACTCGAAGCTGAATCTCACAATTACAGATTCTATTCAGCAAAGGATAACGAACAAATCTTTAACACTACTGTTAGATGTTTTCTCAACTTTTATTTTATTCGTCTCTAAGTCATGGAATGGATTGATTACATAATCTCATGTTTTGTATCTCCTATTCATTTTTTAATGATTGCAGTATAGATGAAATCCAGAGTAGCGGAAAACCCGGTGCAAAGTTCATTTTGGTTACTATCTTAGAATCAGTGGCTAGCGTGATCGCATTTCTAGTTATTTTATCCATATACATGATCTTTAAAAGGGAAAGACCAAGAGGTAAAAACATCACTAGGTCTTAACATTCATTGAAAACAGAACACTTTGTTTGTTGTTTTGTGTGTATTTGATCTTTATTTTATTTCTCCTCTTTACCATTATAACAGCTCCAGGTAATGAAAACAGACATTCGAGTCAATCAATCGGAGCAAAGGAGCGGAGGTTTACGTATTCTGACATACTAAGGATGACAAACAACTTTGAGAGAGTTCTTGGTAAAGGAGGATATGGAAGAGTGTATTATGGAAACTTGGATGGTACTCGTGTAGCTGTGAAAATGCTATTGCATTCATCAGCTGATCAAGATTATAGACATTTCAAAGCAGAGGTAACAATTTGAATCACAAATAGATCCATTAAGTCTTTTGTTTTTGAAATGGTAATAAATTTTGTAATCTTTCTTAGGTTGAACTACTTTTAAGAGTCCACCATAGAAATTTGGTTGGACTTGTTGGTTACTGTGATGATGGAAATAACTTGGCTTTGATTTATGAATACATGGCAAATGGAGACTTGAAGGAGAATTTGTCAGGTATATACTTTAACTAACCTATTTTGAATTGGTTGGAATTCGTAACATAATCAAAACTCGGTGTAGGAAACCGCTGTGGGCATGTACTAACTTGGGAAAACAGAATTCAAATAGCTATGGAGGCAGCACAAGGTGATGAACAACATTAAAGTCTTGCTTACATTTTGATTTGATGTCTTAAAATGAAAATTTGACATAAACACAATTACAATTTTGTAACAGGACTAGAGTATCTACATAATGGAAGTACACCACCTATGGTCCATAGAGATGTGAAACCTACAAACATTCTGTTGAATGAGCTGTTTCAAGCGAAACTAGCGGATTTCGGGCTATCTAGATCTTCCCCGGTCGACGGTGAATCTTATGAATCAACAATCGTTGCAGGAACACCTGGTTACTTAGACCCTGAGTGAGTGAATCAACCAGTTACCTTAGTCATAATAAAACATAAAATGTAATATCTTTGAATGTTACTCTTTTTTCAGGTACTATAGAACAAACTTGCTCAGCGCGAAGACTGATGTGTACAGTTTTGGGATAGTTTTATTAGAAATAATCACAAACCAGCCTGTGATTGATTCAAACCGGGAGAAAGCACATATTACAGAATGGGTTGGACTAATGCTCATGGAAGGAGACATTAGGAATATTATAGACCCGAAACTGATGGGAGAATTCGATACAAACGGTGTGTGGAAGGCTGTGGAGTTGGCTTTGGCTTGTGTAAACCCTACCTCAACCCGTAGACCAACAATGACACATGTCGTGATGGAGCTAAACGAGTGTCTGAACTATGAAACTGCAAGGAAACAAGGGAGTCAAGAGATGTATTCAAAAGATTCTATTGAATTAATAAGCTTATCTCCAACTTCTAGATTCTCACCTGGACCAAGGTGAATTAAGAGTATTTCATGTCTCATGAACCTTAATGACATTGTTTGAGTAACCCATCGAAATATTATGTTTTTCTCGAATTGAAAGTACATTCTTTGTGAAATCTAGCAAGTGGATTTTCTGTTAAAAGTATTATTAGCCTTTCAATATAATGTAACTAAGTTTCTTGGGTAACAAGAAACCAACATGAAAGTATGACGGAGATACATTATTGTTTAATTTATTTATGTGTTCTTAAATTTTAAGTGATAGGAAAACTTTTGTTTTTTTTTCGTTTTTTCGTTTCAGATTTTTAGATTTATGACCCGATATCCTCGCCTGTTAAATTATACCAATATAATATTTAATTAGAAGCAAACAATATAATGACAATTAGATACTTATAATTTAAGGAATAGATGAATTAAGCCTAAATTTCATTGATATAATTGTCACCGCCTTAAATAAGGCTATAAATCTAGTGCATGTACAAAAATAAATTTCCCGAAATGGTAATTATATATTTACTGGATTTAATATTTATCATCAACTAAAACAAAATATTATTATCAATGAATTAAAGCCTAAATTAAAAAAAAAAAAAAAGTGGAAATATATAAACCGACAATGGCTATTCTCTTCTTCAAGCCGCCTTATTTGCAAATTTGCAATGACAATATCTTTCTTCTTCTTTTTTTTTCCGGATCAGGTAATTAATTTATTTTTTGTTTTGTTATAACAGATCATATCCAATAATATCGTATCTTTAAACATTCCAAGTTGGTTTTGGATATGTGGGTTTCTTCTATAAATACACATCCTTGTCGTTGCTGCCACAACACAACAAGCTCATAGAAACCCACAAACTCACACAAAGTCTTTCACAATGTTTGGTTTGGTGTTCAGTCGATGGCGAAAAGCTTCCACATGCATGAAGTTGTTGGAACAGCTTCAGTCTCGTCTTAAGTTACTCAAGAACAAGAAGTGCGAATTAGCAAGACTTCTACGTGGCGACATCGTTGTCTTGCTCAAAATCAAACACTCCACATATGCTCTCCATCGAGCCGAACAGCTTATCCTAGCTGAAAAGATGGTTATGGTATACGACATGTTGCTTCAATTCACTAATCTCATCATCCTCCACTTCTCCTCCATCGAAAAACACAGGTTTGTTACATATATTTTGCTTCTCTCTCTTGGTTCTAGCGAAATACAACACACACGTACTAATATATATATTCGATAATAAACATGCAGAGAATTTTTAAATGATGAGATCAACGAAGCCGTCTCGAGTCTTGTCTTTGCCTCCACGAGATGTGGAGAAGAAGTACCTGAACTAGTTAGCATTAGAGATCTCTTTCGTCAACGTTACGGTCAAAGATTCGTATCAAGAGCTCTTCGGCTCCTCCCTGGGCATCTTGTTAGCCATGAGGTTTCAACCTAATTTTCACTTTTCTTTCTTTTTAATTTTTGTTTGCATCATAATAATTAGCGAATCTTTAAAACACAGATGAAAGAGTTATTGTGGATCACTTCGGTACCTGAAGGTATAAAGTCTAAGCTATTGGATGAAATAGCAAAGACGTTTGATTGCTCTTTAGGAAGGCTTCAATATACACCTGAGATTGATAAACAGGTAATTTCATATTTCTTGTTATTAATTGGTGTCATAAAGGCTTCAATATGTTTGTGTTTTTCTTGGTATCATAATTTACTTTTGGACTTGTGTGTGTGTGTTTAGGTGAATAAAGAGGAAGAGAAGAAAGTAATGGATTCGGATTTGAATAAGAAATCACCAGACGAAGTTTATAAATTCAGCCTCACGGATTTTGAAGAAGAGGTACGTAAGGAAGAGGCATTATCATCAATGGAGGATGATGATGAGGATGATTACATTGAAGAGGCTCTTCAAACACAGAGCAAAAAGAAGTTGTTGATAACTTCGGTATCCAAAGATGTGAAGTCTAATCTATTGGATGGAATAGCAAAGGAGTCTGGTCGTCCTTTAAAAAAATTAAGGACTAAATATACACCTGAGAATGAAGAACAGGTAACGTAATAATACTTCTTGTTATTATATACTGGTGTAATCAAGATCACTAGATATATTTTTGTTTTCTTGGAAACATAATTTTTTTTTTGTTTGGTGCTTGTGTGTGTGTTTAGGTGAATGAAGAGGAAGAGAAGAATGTAACGGATTCAGAGTTCTATAGTTGCTCGGATGAGCCATCACCAGACGAAGCTTATAAATCAAGCCTCACGGATGTTGAAGAAGAGATAATCAACGAAGAGAAATCATTAATGGAGGATGATCACATAGAAGAGGCTCAAGTGGGGAAAGATCAAAGAGAACTCAGAGTCAAAGAAAGATGTGAAGAAGAGAGAAGAAGATCATCAACATCAACATCTTTATTACCATTAAAAGAGTTTATGGACATGGAGAGTACGAGGTACTACAAGAGGCGAACAAGAGTTCACCAAAGAAGAAGAAGATCATCAATACCGTCAGCACATTGTTGCCCTAACTAGATTTTGACAAATAATGTAAATTTAGATATATGTAAATTTTACAAATAATTACGTATTGTTTTATTCTCCCAAAAACATATTACATATTATTAAAATATATATCTTGTTTGTGTTAGATGAAAAATGAATATAAAATAATTAAAAAATAATAAATACTTTCATGATTTTGGTATTGGTATATATTATGTTTTTGAACGAGAGATCAAAAAGAGTAAGCCCCGGATATACATAATTTTCCATCAAAACGAGAGATCAATAATAAAAATTACCAATACATAATTTTGGTAAATACTTTGAACGAGAGAAGTAAGCCCCGGATATACAGTTGAGATAGATTTCATCTGTATCTTTTATAATTTAAATCTAAATTCACCATAAAAGAGTTATTTTTCTTTTGGTAAGAATAAAAGAGTTATTTTTGTAAATAAAGTTTAACAAGATAATATTTTTGTAAATAAAGTTTAACAAAACCCTTAAACTTTGGCTCTCATATAGGTTTAGTAATTATTTTTTTCTTAAAAATTTTAGATTATTATATTTTGAAGAGACGAAGGAAATTCAGAAAAAAAAAATTTAACTTAATTTTGGTTTCTATTTCGTCCCATTTTTTTTTTTCTTTTTCTATATGTCCTCAGGTAATTAAAACGCATGCTTTGAATCTCTAAAAAAAAATTAATTACATTTTTTTTTTATTCAAGAACAAAGTCAAATCATGTATATAACTGAAGTCAACGCTTTGTAATTTCAAGGCATATAATAGGCAGCGACGAGGTCATAAATCCAGAATGACCTTAGTTGACTTGTTTATTTCTTTATTTTTCCTTCATTTGCTTTTTTTTTTTTATAAAAATTTCAAATACATTTTTTGTAGAAAGAATTTCTAGTACATATATTCCTTATACGTCAATTGACTATATAATTAAATCGAGACTTTTTTCCCCACTTCAATTTAATTTGCAAGTTATTACAATCTCCCTTTGAGCTTGAGAGTTAATTATATAATGTTTTTAGATACGATTTAGATCCGTCAACACACTGTAAATCTAAAAAATCGATTCCTAGTCTGGTTAAGTCTACTACTAAATTCACTAATCGTAAATTAGAAAAATCTTAAAAGTCAGTAAATCCTTAAAAAAAAAATTACTATCTTAAAAAAAAGAGATTGCGAAAATTAAGTTCATTGATTAAATTTCACTATGTTAATAAAATAAAATAAACGGAATGGTGATGTAAATAACCAAAATTGGTTGATGGCACTGAATTATTTTTGTAGAACATTTCCACAACTCGCTTTGTTTATTTTCTATTAGTTTACACTTTACATAATTGCCACCAATCACTAGTTTGAACATTTCCACAGCGAACAAAAAAATTCGTAAGCAAAAAAGAGTAGTGTTACAATCACCTGAATAAATCTAATTTTGAAGCCATCTTAGTTGACCAATACTTTGTTTATGTCAAATCTTTTGCCTATCAAGAACAAATAACAATGAATAATGGATAGTCTCCTCTGAATCAGAAAAGCAAACATCCCCCAGAAAGAAGAAAAAAATGAAGCTTCTTCTTGGGTTTTTGCCCTTCTTGATTTTAGCTTTTGCCATTTTTGAATTAGTTCAAGCTCAAGATCAATCAGGTTCCTAACTCTACCTCTGTTTTTATTATAGCTTGATGCTCTGTTTTTTCAAGTTTGTTTCATTGATCATGAACAGGTTTCATCAGCTTAGATTGTGGTTTGGTACCTAAGGACAGAACATATGTGGAGAAGTCAACGAATATAACATACAGATCAGACGCGGATTTCATCGACAGTGGAACTCCAGGGAAGATCAACGAGATGTACAAGACACAGTTTCAGCAACAGACTTGGTCCTTGAGAAGCTTCCCTGAGGGTCGAAGAAACTGCTACAACTTAACCCTTACCGTGAAACGCAAGTATCTGATCAGAGCAACCTTTATGTATGGGAATTACGACGGTTTGAATCAACTCCCGAGCTTTGATCTTCACATTGGTCCTAACAAATGGACTTCTGTGTCGACCTTAGGAGTGACAAATGGCTCAATCCACGAGTTGATCCATGTCTTAACACAAGACCGTCTTCAAATTTGTCTGGTCAAGACAGGGGAAACAACACCGTTTATTTCGTCCTTGGAACTTCGTCCTTTGAGTAATAATACATACGTCACACAAAGTGGATCGCTAATTGCGTTCGCTAGAGTTTTCTTTTCACCCACTCCATCGTTCCTCAGGTAAGGTTTTGTAATTTGTTGTTTTTGCTCTTTGGTGTTAAGTTAACAAATTAAAAAGCCTCCTTCTAGGTATGATGAGGACATCCATGACAGAACTTGGACTCCATTCTTAGATAACAAAACTTCCGTAATAAGCACGGAAGCTTCTGTTGATACAAGTAACTTCTACAATGTTCCTCAACCTGTGGCGAAAACTGCTGCTGTCCCTGCAAATGCTACTCAGCCTATGACCATAGATTGGACTCTAGACGACATCACTGCACAGTCCTATATATACATGCATTTCGCTGAAATCGAGAATCTTGAAGAAAATGCGACTAGAGAATTCAACATTACTTTTAATGGTGGCCGAAACTGGTACTCCTATTTTAGGCCTCCAAATTTCAGTATAACAACTGTATTCAATCCAGGAGCTGTGAGTTCTCCAGATGGGAAGTTCAATTTCACTTTCACAAAAACCGGTAACTCTACTCTTCCTCCACTTATCAACGGTCTCGAGGTTTATAAAGTACTTAACATTGAACAGCAAGAGACAGACCAAGATGAAGGTAAGTTAATAAGCATGTTCTTGAACCAATTCTTCTACCAAAATATTTCTGTCTTTTTAGTTTTGACATTGCCATGTTTTCAAAATGTAATCATTGATCAGTTTCTGCTATGTTGGACATCAAGACAACATATGGATTGAGAACAAGATCTAGTTGGCAAGGAGATCCATGTGCTCCTAAGCTATATCTATGGGAAGGTTTAAAATGCACTTATCCTGTATCTGAGCCTCTGCGGATCACATCCTTGTATGTTTTTCTCGTTCCTCGCGAATCTTTAGTTTCGGGTTTATCACATATGCTAAATTTTGGATTCTCTATTAGGAACTTGAGTGGAAGCAACTTGACTGGTACAATAACATCTGATATCTCCAAGCTAACACAGTTGACAGAACTGTAAGCATCCAAACTATCACACCAATAAACTTTAAAGTATGGTTTGATACAGTGGGAGAAGGACAATAACTCTGCATCAAAAAAAATATTGAATTTTCTCTTTAATGTGCAGAGATTTATCAAACAATGATTTATCAGGAGAGATTCCAGCGTTTTTGGCTAATATGAAGCTGACACTCATGTGAGGTTTTTTCTTGACTATGCGTAGTTCTCGCTTGCTCTGCTCTTTGTGTGCTGTTCTGAATGATTCAGTCTTTTCATTTGCAGAAACTTAAGTGGAAACTCTAAGCTTAATCACTCAGTTCCAGAGCCTCTTCAACGAAAGATAGATAACAAATCTTTAATACTAATGTAAGATTTTCATAATTAATAGATTCAATAATACATAATGTATTTTAGACACATAATGTATTTTAGCAGTGTCTACATATAAGTGTCTAACCTTCTTTTTTCGTTTCACATCATTTTTAATGACTGCAGTAGAGATGACACTGGAAAAAATAGTAAAAATATGGTTGCTATCGCAGCATCAGTGGCTGGCGTGTTTGCTCTACTACTTATCTTGGCTATTGTTTTTGTAGTCATAAGGAAAAAACGAAAAACTAATGAAGGTATTATATATGTCTCATCACCAGACTGGTTCTTGAAGAGTAATGAAAATGAAACTTGTTAGGTTTTACTCACTTCGTTTGGCATTGACAGCTTCAGTACCCGAATCAGCAGTCACTACTGGTACGGTTAAAAGTGATACAAGATCATCCAGTTCATCAATCATAACAAAGGAGCGCAAGTTCACTTATTCCGAGGTACTGAAGATGACTAAAAACTTCGAGAGAGTTCTTGGTAAAGGAGGTTTTGGAACAGTATATTATGGAAACTTAGATGATACTCAAGTAGCTGTGAAAATGCTCTCTCATTCATCAGCTCAAGGATATAAGGAGTTCAAAGCAGAGGTACATGAAGAAGACATAGGTCCATTAGTCTTCATTTTTTTTTTGAATGGCATTGAGTTTCTCAATAATAATACAATGGTCATTTTGTTATCTTTGTTAGGTTGAACTACTTTTGAGAGTTCACCATAGACATTTGGTGGGACTTGTGGGTTACTGTGATGATGGAGATAACTTGGCTTTGATCTATGAATACATGGCAAATGGAGACCTGAGAGAGAATATGTCAGGTACACTTTAACTTAGAGACTCTAATTCAGTAGAGTCCATCTCCTTTTACAGTTTTAAAAAATAAAATCCCTGTACAGGAAAACGCAGTGTCAATGTCCTAAGCTGGGAAACAAGAATGCAAATAGCTGTAGAGGCAGCACAAGGTGAATAACATTTCTGACTTGTTTTCTTTTCATTACACCACATCTTGTGTCTGGTTATCTGAAAGCAAAATTGAACCATTTGTATTAGGATTGGAGTATCTTCACAATGGATGTAGACCTCCTATGGTCCATAGAGATGTGAAACCAACTAACATCTTATTAAATGAGCGGTCTCAAGCAAAACTAGCTGACTTTGGACTCTCTAGATCTTTTCCGGTTGATGGTGAATCTCATGTCATGACAGTGGTTGCAGGAACACCAGGCTACCTAGACCCTGAGTGAGTTAATCAATCAGTTTTGCTATACTAAAATTAGTAATGAAGAATTATGAATTGTAATCTCTATTATAATTTCAGATATTACAGAACAAACTGGCTAAGCGAGAAGAGTGACGTATACAGTTTTGGTGTAGTGCTATTAGAACTTGTCACAAACCAGCCTGTGACAGATAAAACCAGAGAGAGGCCTCACATTACAGAATGGGTTGGATTTATGCTCACCAATGGGGACATCAGGAGTATTGTCGACCCAAAACTGATGGATGACTATGACTCAAACGGTGTTTGGAAGGTTGTAGAGTTGGCTCTAGCCTGTGTAAACCCATCTTCCAGCCGAAGACCGACGATGCCACACGTGGTGATGGAGCTTAACGAATGTCTTGCTTATGAAATAGAAAGAAAACAAGGTAATCAAGAGACGCAGTCAAAGGATTTTGTTGAGTTTAGTCCATCTTCTGTTTCTGATTTTGCTCCTAGAGCGAGGTAAATTCGAAAGTCCTTGATGTAATGTGAAGCTACGCTATGTTGTTTATAAACAATAATGGTCTAATGTTCATATCATAAATTTTAAGATAGCTCTGTAAATTTTACCTCAAAAAGTATTAGCCTTTATTATTTGTAACATTCTTGGTTTCCAAGACATCGATATGTATCATATTAGTTTGTGTATGACGCCTTGAATCTTGGTAACATTCAAGAATAAGTAAAATCGTTAACAATATACTCACTAATATTCAAAATAACTGGTGAATAGATTGATTTCAATTTTTTTACGCCTACCCAATACAATACAATTTGGACATCCTCCAACGCCTGAAAACTGAAAGAATGTCGTAGACACGTAAGGGTTACTGTAATAACCACCTGAATAAAATAATCTAATGTGGAAGAATGAAGAAGACTTAGCACAAAGCTTACAACATATTGAGAGCCAAATCAATTGACCAATACAACATAACCTTTTCTGAGCCAGAGCATTCACTTCCGCACAGAAAAAAAAAAAAAAAAAAAAAACATGAAGTCTATTCATGGGGTTTTGCTTCTCTTGATCACAGCTAAAGGCATTTTTGAATCGGTTCAAGCTCAAGATCAATCAGGTTCTTACTATTTGATTCCTATGTAAATTTTTCGAAACCCTTTGAAATTTGTTTCTTTAATAATGGTATTTATGGTGTTGGTCATATAAACAGAGTTCATAAGTTTGGCTTGTGGGTTAGTCCCTAAGAGCACAACTTATACGGAGAAGACTACAAATATAACATACCAGTCCGATGCAAATTACATCGACGGTGGATTGGTTGGGAGGATCAGTGATGAGTACACAACGCTGCTTCAGAAACAGACTTGGACCTTAAGAAGCTTCCCTAAGGGTAAAAGAAACTGTTACAACTTCAACCTTACCGCTAAAAGCCAATATCTCATCAGAGGAACCTTTGTGTATGGGAATTACGACGAGTTAAAGCAAATCCCCGAATTTGATCTTCACATTGGTCCTAACAAATGGACTTCTATTAAACTGGATGGAATAGGAAACGGTACTATCCATGAGATGATCCATGTCTTGACACAAGACCGTCTTCAGGTTTGTCTTGTTAAGACAGGTGAAACTACACCGTTTATTTCGTCGCTGGAACTTCGTCCATTGAACAATAATACTTACCTCACACAAAATGGATCGTTGATCGCGGTTTCAAGAGCCTTCTTTTCACCAAATCCGGTATTCATAAGGTAAAGAAGATTTTTTATTTGTATTTTAGTCTTGTGCATTTATGTGTTTGGTGATATTTTAGATGCAAAGTGCTTCAGAAGTTCAGATGTTGATAGTTTGACCAATTTGGTATTTGGAAATATTGCGTTTAAATTTGCATTGAAATGCAACATCTATATATGGAAAAACCGATTTAAGAAACGAACAATACATCTAACGGCTAAATCTGGATGCAGCTATGAAAGGGCCTTTCTTGGTTTGCTATATGTTTTTGAGTAAACAAAATTGAGTCTTGTGACTTGTCTTTTTATAGGTATGATGAGGATCTCCATGATCGAACCTGGATACGACACTTGGATAACGAATCGGTGCCGATAAGCACAGATCTTTTGGTAGATACGGGTAACCCCTATGATGTGCCACAAGCTGTGGCAAAGACTGCTTCTGTGCCAAGAAATGCTAGTCAACCTCTGACCTTTGATTGGACTCTTGACAACACTTCACAATCATATGTATATATGCATTTTGCTGAAATACAGACTCTTAAGGATGGTGAGATCAGAGAATTCAACATTACCTATAATGGTGGCAAGAATATGTACTCCTATTTTAGGCCTGAAAAACTGGAGATTAAAACTGTATACAATATAATAGCTTTGAGTTCTCCGGATGGGAATTTCAGTTTCTCTTTCACGATGACCGGTAACTCAACTCTTCCTCCTCTTATCAACGGCCTCGAGATTTATAAAGTCTTGCACCTTCTAGAACTCGAGACAGATCAAGATGAAGGTAAATTAAGCATGTTCTTAGACCCATTCTTGTACCAAAATTTTATATCCTTTGACTGTGTGGTTTTCAAAATGTGATTGATCAGTTTTTGCTATGGTAAACATTAAGACAACATACGATTTGAGCAAAAAGGTTAGTTGGCAAGGAGATCCATGTGCTCCTCAGTCTTATCGATGGGAAGGTTTAAACTGCAGTTATCCAGATTCCGAGCCACCTCGGATCATATCCTTGTATGTTTTGTTTCTCCATCTCATGTTTTTTTTTTGAATTTCATTATTTCATAATTTATAACTCTTTTGGATACTTTACTGTTTGAAAACATTACATTAGGAACTTGGCAGAGAACAAGCTGACCGGTTCCATAACACCTGAAATATCCAAGCTAACACAGTTGATAGAGCTGTAAGTGTTCGAGTTTTCACATCCATAAGGTTAATTACTAGAATTTCGATAGTTTATATATTTGTACAAATTTTGTTTTCCTTTCTCTCTCAATGGACAGAGATTTATCAAAAAACGATTTATCGGGAGAGATTCCAGCGTTTCTTGCAGATTTGAAGTTGTTGAAACTCATGTGAGCTTCTTATATCAACAACACCCTCACCATGCTTTCATAGTTTATAACTCTTCTGGACACTTTACTGTTTGAAAACATTACATTAGGAACTTGGCAGAGAACAAGCTGACTGGTTCCATAACACCTGAAATATCCAAGTTAACGCAGTTGATAGAGCTGTAAGTGTCCGAGTTGTCACACCGATAAGGTTAACTACTAGAAAACCTATAATTTATTTGAACCTGAACAAACATTTTCCTTTCTCTCTCAATGGACAGAGATTTATCAAAAAATGATTTATCAGGAGAGATTCCAGCATTTTTTGCGGACATGAAGTTGTTGAAACTCATGTGAGCTTCTTATCTTAACACCCTCTCTCAACCTCCCTATGCTTTTATTTATTTGGCTTTTTCACTTGCAGAAACTTAAGTGGAAATCAAGGTCTCAATACCACAATTCCAGACTCTCTCCAACAAAGAATAAATGCCAAATCTTTAACAGTAATGTAAGATGTTTATATTTGATCACTTAAATGAATCAGTCTCAACTTTTCAAGTAATGGAAATTAAATTAAACTTCTAGTCAAAATGCATGCTTTGCATGTAATGCTACAAAAAATTTCATGTTTTCCCTTTTTTCTTTTCCGGTTTCTCATCACTTTAAATGGGTACAGTGTGAGTCAAACTGTAACCCTCAAAGACAATAGTAAAAAGGTTCCAATGGTTGCTATCATAGCTTCAGTGGTTGGGGTCTTTGCGCTCCTAGTTATCTTGGCCATCTTTATCGTCCTTAGAAGAAAACACGGGAAAAGTGCAAATGGTACGAATCACCACCGAGTCTAATGACTAATGAGATATGAAATTCTGTCTTTATTTATTTTACATATTTTTTGTACTACTTAACAGCTCCGAGACCAACATCAGTCCCTATCAGTATGGTTCACAATGAGGCAAGATCATTCAATCCGGCAATCATAACAAAGGAACGCAGGATCACATACCCCGAGGTACTGAAGATGACTAATAACTTCGAGAGAGTTCTTGGTAAAGGAGGTTTTGGAACCGTGTACCATGGAAACTTGGATGATGCTCAAGTCGCTGCAAAAATGCTCTCGCATTCATCAGCTCAAGGTTATAAAGAGTTCAAAGCAGAGGTACTTTTAACTAAATGGATTTGTTATTCCTTTCTTCTTTGCGTTATGTTCTCAAATCTCAACTATGAAATGGTCATTTTGGTATCTTTCTTAGGTAGAGCTTCTTTTAAGAGTTCACCACAGACATTTGGTGGGACTTGTGGGTTACTGTGATGATGGAGATAACTTGGCTTTGATCTATGAATATATGGAAGATGGAGACCTGAGGGAGAATATGTTAGGTAAGACTTTAACTAAGAGACTCTGAATTAATAGATCCAACTCTCAAAAAAAACTTATTTTTTTTTTTTTTTGAATTTAATGTTAAATTATATTCAAGAAAAAAATATAACGTTTTTACAACTAGTGCAACATAAAATTGAAATTTAAGAATTTAGGCTTCAATGAAAAAAAATATGAAAAACCACCATTAGAAGCTTAGTTTGATAAGCACGTCTGAAGCCACCGTTGGTAGCCTTCTTCGTACCTTCGATCTCCCCCTTTTTGAATTGCTTGAAGTTGATTTCTTATTTGGCGATCAACACACTTGATAACTGCTGCGACTGGTTTAGGAACTTCTCCATGCTTACGACTATTGCGCTCCCTCCAAATGGTGTAGAGAACAGTTTGAAACACGTACCGTATTAGAAAACCATCAATCCTATCTTGGTGATGTTGTGAGATAAAAGAGATTAGAGCTGACCAAGAGGTGGTGTAATGAGTTCTGTAAACACCTTTTGCAATTGCTTCCCACACCTTTGAGACATAGGAGCATTCGAAAAATAAGTGGTCCCGGGTTTCCAGCTGATTATTACAGAGGCCGCAAAGACCCGACGCCGTCCTGTTCCACACCGCCATTCGATCTCCTGTAGGGAGTCTATTCTGAACTGCAAGCCACACACAAAAAGATTGTTTCGGTGTAGCATGAATAAACCACACACCCTTATGCCAAGCAACCATGGAACCCGACGTTCTAACATGATTCCACGTATCTTTAGTTGAAAACTGTGTTTTGAACTCATCATTTTTACCACACCATAACACTACATCAGCCGTCGCACTTTTTTTCTGCGAAGCCAGCCTCAACTCTTCATCAATAGAACGCAGGATATCCGTGCGGTAACGGCGCCGTCGTCGGTTCCAAGCTTCAGCCACAGAGCTATTTTTTCTCACCCCCATGTCAATAATACCTCTATCACCAACGATCTCTGCAATACAACCCAATCTTGACCAATTATCATACCAAAAAGATGTTGTTTCTCCATTACCCAATCTAACCGTGTACAAAGTCTTAGCCACCACACGGTACTTTAACAATTTCTTCCACATTTGATACATTTGATACAGGAAAACGCGGTGGGCATGTCCTAACCTGGGGAAAAAGGATGCAAATAGCTGTAGAGGCAGCACAAGGTGAACAAAATCTTTACTGGTTTACTTTTCATAGCATAACAATATGTGTCTAGTTGTATGGAAGTAAGATTGATAAAAACAATAACTATATGTAACAGGATTGGAGTATCTTCACAATGGATGTAGACCTCCTATGGTCCATAGAGATGTTAAAACTACCAACATCTTATTGAGTGAGCAGTCTGGAGCAAAGCTAGCCGATTTTGGGCTCTCTAGATCTTTCCCAATCGATGGCGAATGCCATGTCTCGACAGTGGTTGCGGGCACACCTGGTTACCTAGACCCTGAGTGAGTAAATCAATCAGTTATAATCACTAATATGTTGGGTTGTATAGCTCAAAATAGTAATCAAGAATGTTAATATCATTTTCCCACATTCTCTCAGGTATTATAGAACAAACTGGCTAAGCGAGAAGAGCGATGTATACAGCTTTGGTGTAGTGCTATTAGAGATAGTCACAAACCAGCCTGTGATAGATAAAACCCGAGAGAGACCTCATATCAGTGAATGGGTTGGGTTCATGCTTACTAAAGGAGACATCAAGAGCATTGTTGATCCGAAACTGATGGGGGAATATGACACAAACGGTGCATGGAAGATTGTAGAGTTAGCTTTGGGATGTGTGAATCCGTCTTCGAACCGGAGACCAACAATGGCACATGTTGTGATGGAACTAAATGAATGTGTGGCCTTAGAAAATGCAAGGCGACAAGGTAGTGAAGACATGTACACAAGAGGTTCTGTTGAATTTAGTCACACTTCTGCATCTGAATTTTCTCCTGGTGCCAGATAATTAATTTAAAAGCTCGTATATCGTTGATGTGATTTCATGGAAATTAAGCTATCTTGTTTCCTTTTTATTTTATTTTTCCTTTACCTTTGTGAATTGTCCAAATTTTTATGTAAAAAGAAACAATGTACAATCTATAATTTCCTTTGTATAAAACTCTATTTACTATATGCGTGCTTGGTGACTCAACAGTCTCAATTATTTATTCCTACTTATATGAACGGCCTCGAGATATATATAAAGTCTTAAACAGTCCACAGCTTGAGACAGACCAAGATGAATGTAAGTATGTAACCTCTTCATTAATCCATTCTTTAAGCTATATGCTTTTCTATCATTAACTTTTGTTTTGGTTCTTATATGCATGTGGTCCATGAATTCAATACTTTCTTTCGTAAATATTCTTAAACAAACTAATATTTCTCTCTTGATAGATATTTTGTTTAATAATATTTATGCAAGAATGAAGTATTAAATTCATCAAATACATAACTAGTGAAGGCTCAATGTTAGGATACTACTAACTAGAAGTCAAATGCTAACTAATAGCATTGTAGGCTGTATTGATTTAATCACGTTGTACATATCTTATTTGGATTTGCAATTTGTCATGCATATATCAACAGGCATATATATATGACAAAAATATTAAATAAACTCGATCAGTTTCAGACATATAACTTAGAGTTACAACTTATACAAGACACTTAAAGCGACAGTACAAAGCCTTATGATCATTGACTTTTAAGAGTAGAGATTTCAAATTACGAATTCATCCATCCAGAACCAAAAAGACACAAAAGACGAGAGAGATCAACCAATGTCATACAAAAGTCAACGCCAACGAGAGTACGTAAGATCATTCTAAGGTTGTAGTTTAATGCACGTATTTGGAAAGTACACCATCTTAAAATCTGAGTTGACTTAGTCAACGGTCTGGTGATCTAGACTCTAAAGGACATATACGAGAGTTTCCAATGACTAGCTTATAACTCATTGTCATTGATTTTGGGCTTTTGGCTAAACAAAAACATAAGTGGAAGACTCTCTCCAACTGCAAGTAACACGGTTTACTTTGTTCTCCCTTTGCTTCTTTCTATTTATATATTTGATTTTACATTTGATTTGAGCTTCTCCACGCCTGACCAGTAATCTAGTAATAGTCGTAGGCAAGTAAGGTTATCTGAATAATCTAATCTTTAAAGACTTTTAGCATATATTGACCAATATTATGTAATCTTCACCCTTTTTGCCTATTAACAACAATGAACAATGAATAATATCCTCTAAAATTAGAACACCTACCCAAAAAAGATGAAGTCTCTTCATTGTTTTTGGTTTCTTTTGATTATAGCTTATACCGTTTTGAGATCAGTCCAAGCTCAAAATCAAGCAGGTTCTTGAGAACATGATGTTGCCTTTTGTAAAACTTTGTTCTTGAGAACATGATGTTGTCTTTTTTTAAACTATGTTTTGGACATGATGATGTTTTTTTTTAAAGTGTTTTCTTTGATGATATATATTACTAGTGTTGATCATGAACAGGATTTATCAGCTTGGATTGTGGGTTGGTGCCTAAGGAAACTACTTATGTGGAGAAATCTACGAATATAACATACAAATCGGACGCGGATTACATCGACAGTGGATTGGTTGGAAAGATAAATGATGCATACAAGACTCTGTTTCAGCAGCAGATTTGGGCCTTGAGAAGCTTCCCTGTGGGTCAAAGAAACTGTTACAACGTCAACCTTACGGCAAACCAAAAATATTTGATCAGAGGAACCTTTGTCTATGGGAATTACGACGGTCTAAATCAGTTCCCAAGCTTTGATCTTTATATCGGTCCTAATAAATGGTCTTCTGTGAAAATAAGAGGAGTTACAAATACTTCTATGCATGAGATAATCCATCTTGTACCAAAAGATAGTCTTCAAGTTTGTCTTGTTAAAACTGGACCGACAACACCATTCATTTCGTCGCTTGAGTTTCGTCCCTTGAACAATGAAACTTATGCCACGCAAAGCGGATCATTGACGCTGTTCGCTAGAGTATACTTTCCATCAAGTTCATCATCTTTCATCAGGTAATAAAAATAGGCAACAATAAATGAAGTTGTTCTTTGTGTTTTTGTTTTGAGTTCACTAATGGACCATCTCTTCAGGTATGATGAGGACATACATGACAGAGTGTGGAATTCATACACAGATAATGAAACCATCTCGATAAGCACAGACCTACCGGTCGATACAAGTAACATCTACGATGTGCCTCAATCCGTGATGAAGACTGCTGCTGTCCCTAGAAATGCTAGTCGGCCATGGTACTTATGGTGGGATCTTGATGACATAACCGCGCAGTCATATATTTATATGCATTTCGCCGAAATCCAGAATCTAAAAGACAGTGACATAAGAGAATTCAACATTACTTACAATGGAGGCATACGTTGGTTCAGCTATTTAAGGCCTTCCAAACTCAGCATTTCTATATTCTCCAATCCAAAGGCAGTGAGTTCTTCAGATGGGATATTTAATTTCACTTTCGTAATGACGGGTAACTCTACTCTTCCTCCCCTTCTAAACGCCCTCGAGATCTATACAGTTGTAGAACTTCAACAGCTAGAGACAAACAAAGATGAAGGCATGTATTCCTATGCCAATATTATTTTATAGAATCTGTTTTGTCTTTTAAACATGTATATGTTTTTCTGAGATGAGTTTGAATGTCATGATCAGTTTCTGCTATGATGAACATCAAGGAAACTTATGGTTTGAGCAAAAAGATAAGCTGGCAAGGAGATCCATGTGCTCCTCAGGTTTATCAGTGGGAAGGTGTAAACTGCAGTTATCCGGACTCCGAGGCATCACGGATCATATCCTTGTATGTTCTGTATTCTTCATCACAAGGTTCTCTAGTTTTGGTGCTTTCACAAATTCTAACCATGATGGAATACTTCTTATTGTTTCACAAATATTAGGAACTTGAATACGAGCGAGTTAGCAGGATCCATAACATCAGACATATCCAAGCTAACACAGTTAACAGTACTGTAAGCATCCAAACTATACCACTAATATAGTTAGTATGCTATAAGAGTATGTAATAGACTCTGCAAAAACTTTGCTTTCTCTGTTTAATGGACAGAGATTTATCAAATAACGATTTATCAGGAGAGATTCCAGCATTTTTTGCTGATATGAAGTTGTTGAAACTCATGTGAGCTTTCTTTCACAACCTCTCACTTGTATTTTTTTTGTTATGCTTTGAAATAATTAAGTCATGTCATTCACAGAAACTTAAGCGGGAACCCGAAGCTTAATCTCACAGCAGTTCCAGACTCTCTTCAGGAAAGGGTAAACAAAAAATCTTTAACACTAATGTAAGATGATCATACACCCTTCAACATTGCTTATATGTAGTGCCACACTAAATTTATCTAATCTCTTCTTTCTTTTGCTTTTCTTCTAATGATCACAGTTTGGGTGAAAACCAAAATCTGAATCCCAAAAAGGAGAGTAAAAAGGTTCCAATGGTTGCTATCGCAGCATCGGTGGCTGGCGTGTTCGCTCTTCTAATTATTTTTGCCATATTCTTAGTCATTAAAAAGAAAAGTTCCAAAATCACTAAAGGCATGAATCACCACTACCAGCTCTTGAGATTGATGAAAAATGGAAAACTTGTCTGGTTATTTTTTTCTCTATTCATTTCACATATTTTGGTATGTTTTACAGCTCCTGGACCTCCATCAGTCGCTGCTGATATAGTTAGAAGTGAGACAAGATCATCCAATCCATCAATCATGACAAAGGAACGCAAGATCACGTATCCCGAGGTACTGAAGATGACTAATAACTTTGAGAGAGTTCTTGGCAAAGGAGGCTTTGGAACAGTGTATCATGGAAACTTGGATGGTGCTCAAGTCGCTGTGAAAATGCTTTCTCATTCATCAGCTCAAGGTTATAAAGAATTCAAAGCAGAGGTACTTTTATATGAAATGGAATGGTTAGTCCAATTGTTTCTTAATGCATTAAGTTCCTCAATCATGAACTGGTCATTCATAGGTGGAGCTTCTTTTAAGAGTTCATCACAGACATTTGGTGGGGCTTGTTGGTTACTGTGATGACGGAGATAACTTGGCTTTGATTTATGAATACATGGAAAATGGAGATCTGAGGGAGAATATGTCAGGTAAACACTTTAACTAAGATACTAAATCTGATTTAATCAAGTCCATCTCCTGCCACAGTTTTATAAAATGTAAAGCCGCGTATAGGAATACGCGGAGGCAATGTCCTTACTTGGGAAAACAGGATGCAAATAGCTGTAGAGGCTGCACAAGGTGAACAAAATTCTAATTTATATACTCACATTTGTTTGATTCATTACCATATTGTTTCTTGATGTTTAGCAAACTTGACATAAAACCATTTGTAATAGGACTGGAGTATCTGCACAATGGATGTAGGCCTCCTATGGTCCATAGAGATGTTAAAACTACTAACATCTTATTGAATGAGCGGTCCGGAGCGAAACTAGCGGACTTTGGACTTTCGAGATCTTTCCCTATCGATGGCGAATGTCATGTCTCGACAGTGGTTGCCGGAACACCTGGTTACCTTGATCCCGAGTGAGTAGAACAATAAAATTTCAAAGTTGTGCTATTGTGGCCAAATAAAGAACCTGAATTTATATATTCGTTTGATAATATTTCAGGTACTACAGAACAAACTGGCTAAGCGAGAAGAGTGATGTGTACAGCTTTGGTGTAGTGCTATTAGAGATAGTCACAAACCAGCCTGTGATAGATAAAACCCGAGAAAGACCTCACATCAATGAATGGGTTGGGTTCATGCTCACTAAAGGAGACATCAAGAGCATTGTTGACCCAAAACTGATGGGGGACTATAACACAAACGGTGCATGGAAGGTTGTGGAGCTTGCTCTGGCTTGTGTGAACCCGTCTTCGAACCGGAGACCAACAATGTCACACGTTGTAATGGAGCTAAACGAGTGTGTGGCATTTGAAAATGCAAGGAGACAAGGTAATGAAGAGATGTACTCTATGGGTTCTGTTGACTATAATAGTCTCTCTTCTGCTTCAGAGTTTGCCCCTGGAGCCAGATAATTTGTGAATATCTTCTTATTTCCTTTTTTTTTTTTCTTAAAAATTCCTTTGTCAATTCATCCATGTATGTTTTGAAGAAATAATATACATTCTATAGTTTCCTTTTGTATAAATAAAAGAAACTTTCTTATTATAAAGAGAACAAAGATCATGATACTCTGTTTTTTGCTCTGTTCTATACTCTGTTTTGATTATTCTGACCTGAAACTTTTGGAATTTGGAGGTTTTTTTTTTTTTTTTGTGGAAAAGATTAAGAGAATTATTTTGTCTACAAAAATGTAATATATGAAGTTATATTAAATTCATCAAGAAAACAACAAGTGACATTATAATTTTCTGAATCGTAAAAATATATAAATCATTGGAGGTTGCATTGGCATGCACATTTCAACTAGCATGCACAAGCAATATGATAAAATAAACTCGACACAATTGGGAGTTTCGGAGTAATTATAACCTTATTATGATCGTTGACTTTTGACGGTGGATTGATCCAGGTAGACAGACAAATACTCTCAAACCAAGAATACCATACAAAAGTCAAAGTCAACGAATACGTAAGAGAGTATCCGAAACACACTAATAATTCATGTCAACTGTCATATTGTTGACGATAAAACAATTACTACTTGTCCTTTTCTCCCGACTTTCTCTATCGAATCATTTTGCATCGTGAGAAATTATTCTCTATGGATTATTTATTCAATTCATCAATCTTATAAGAAGTTGACTTATGACTTTTTGAGAAGTGGTTCATTTAGTCTATATTCTCAGTTCTCATATATGCATAGCTTGCATCTTTTTTATACAAGAAAAAACCTCTCCGTTGGACAGTAAGGAGAACAATGGAGAGACACTGTGTCATCATTGCCACTTTTTTGCTGATACTTCATATTGTTCGAGCTCAAGATCCAACCGGTACGTACAAAAAGTTCTTTGTTTTAATCTATATATATGTGCTTGTTCTTGAACGGTTTGTTAGATTATAAGATGTTTTTTCCATTGGTTGTCTCTTATTAGGATTCATTAGTGTGGATTGTGGTTCTCGTGAGCCTCCTTACAATGAAGCCAAAACTGGTTTAACATATACATCAGATGCTGATTTAGTCCACAGTGGTAAAACCGGTAGAATCGCCAAGGAATTCGAACCGCTAGCCGATAAGCCGACTTTGACACTGAGATATTTTCCAGAGGGAGTACGGAACTGCTACAATCTAAATGTCACCAGCGACACCAACTATCTGATAAAGGCCACATTCGTATACGGGAATTACGATGGTCTTAATGTTGGGCCAAACTTCGACCTTTACCTCGGTCCTAATTTGTGGGCAACGGTGAGTAGTAATGACACTATAGAGGAGCTCATCCATGTGACCAAATCCAATTCTTTACAATTGTGTCTTGTTAAGACGGGAATAAGTATACCTTTTATAAATGTCTTGGAGCTACGACCAATGAAGAAAAATATGTACGTTACTCAAGGCGGTTCGCTGAAGTACTTATTCAGGGTGTATATTAGCAATACAACTAGTCGTATAAGGTAAAATGTTTTAAAAAGAATTATATTTCTTGAAAATAATTTTTTTTTACATGTGACATGTCAATAGTATTATAGTTTTTGCATTTGAACATTTGGCATTTTTAGGCATATGCATGGTACGTTAGTTCTATGATTTAATACAAGATTATGCATGGCAGGTACCCGGATGATGTCTATGATCGTAAATGGTACCCGCTCTTCTACAACTCATGGGCACAAGTAACTACGACTCTCGAATTAAACACAAGTGTTACTTATGAACTACCACAACGTGTAATGGCAGCAGCAGCAACGCCCCTAAAAGCTAACGAGACCTTGAACATTACTTGGACAGTAGAGCCTCCTACTACACAGTTTTACTCCTACATGCACTTTGCCGAGCTTCAGACTTTAAGGGCCAACGAGACAAGGGAATTCAATGTGACGCTGAATGGAAACTATACATATGGACCTTACAGTCCTAAACCCCTAAAAACCGAAACCGTATTCGACTTACGCCCAGAGCAATGTGATGGCGGGACATGTATTTTGCAGGTTGTGAAGACGCTGAAATCTACCCTTCCACCTTTACTTAATGCTATCGAGGCTTTCAGTGTGATTGATTTCCCGCAAATGGAGACTAATGAAGATGATGGTATGTCGATTTTTACATTCATGATCTTATCTACAAGTCTTTGCGTTTTGTGTTTTGATTCTTGATATAACCAAGCTTTACAGTTGCTGGTATCAAGAACGTTCAAGATACTTACGGATTGACTAGAATTAGTTGGCAAGGAGATCCATGTGTCCCCAAACAGTTCTTGTGGGATGGTCTAAACTGCAACAACTCGGGATTAGATAATTCGACAACACCAATAATCACTTCCTTGTGAGATGAACCGTTCAATACAATTTGTATCAGTATTTTATATCATCGCAATTTCAAACTAATATCTTTTTCTTTTTTGTGTAGAGACTTATCTTCAAGTGGACTAACTGGGATCATCACCCAAGCCATTCAGAATCTAACTAACCTGCAAGAACTGTAAGTATCTCAACGGTTAACCAAACCTCAAATTTGTTTTGCCTTTGGAAATGAATCATATTTGACGGCTCGGTTCTTCTTTGTTACTGGTAGGAACTTGTCAGATAACAATTTGACTGGAGAAATACCTGATTTTTTAGCTGACATAAAATCACTCTTGGTCATGTGAGTTTATAATGAGACACTTCAAATTATTTTTTCTTTTTAATAAGTTACTTAAAATAGTTTTTGACTCTTTGTCTACTCCAACAGAAACCTAAGTGGTAATAATCTCAGTGGTTCAGTTCCTCCCTCACTTCTTCAGAAGAAAGGAATGAAGTTAAAGTAAACTGATTTTGTTTGTTTTATTACTATTATGCCGATTGATGTAATTGAATACCTTCTTAACAACATTCACATTTTGCAGTGTCGAAGGCAACCCTCATCTTGTTTGCACAGCTGGTTCATGTGTGAACAAAGGGAATGATGGAAATAAGAAAAAGAGTGTCATAGTGCCAGTTATTGCATCAATCGCTTCAATAGCTGTTCTTATAGGTGCATTGGTTCTGTTTTTTATTCTTAGGAAGAAAAGGTCACCAAAAGTTGAAGGTACGTTATCAACAAGCTCAAGAGTAATCAATATACAAATATCAAACTTAATTAAGTACTAAGTCTGCCAACATTATTTGCTTAAAACCTTAGGGCAAGCGTCAGATGGTAGATCGCCTAGATCATCCCAACCGGCAATAGTGACCGAAAATAAGAAATTTACTTACTCAGAGGTTGTGACAATGACAAATAACTTCCAAAGAATCCTTGGGAAAGGAGGGTTTGGAATCGTTTATCATGGTTTTGTGAACGGTACAGAGCAAGTTGCTGTTAAGATACTTTCCCATTCATCATCTCAAGGATATAAACAATTCAAAGCTGAGGTAATCTCTCACTTCAACTTCATCATTATCTCGAACGAAAAACATTGGTTAAACTTTTCTAGAACTTGAAGTTGTGATTTACGGTTTGGGGTTTAGGTAGAACTTCTTCTTAGAGTTCATCACAAGAACTTGGTTGGTCTTGTTGGATACTGCGACGAAGGAGAGAACTTGGCTCTTATCTACGAATACATGGCCAATGGAGATTTAAAAGAACATATGTCAGGTAAAAGCCAAAGCAAAGATGATATTGAAAGTCTTGTTTCAGTTCTTTGGAGGTATCATAAGATTTTGAAATAAATCTCTTATCTTAAAAACACAGGAACACGTAACGGCTTTATTTTGAATTGGGGAACTAGACTAAAAATAGTCGTTGAGTCAGCACAAGGTTGGTTTAAGAGATTATCCCCATAATATTTTCCATTATTGTGTTTTTTTTTTTAAGCGTTTGGTATGCCGTAGGACTTGAGTACTTGCATAATGGATGCAAACCACCAATGGTTCATAGAGATGTCAAAACCACAAATATATTATTGACTGAGCACTTCCAAGCCAAACTTGCTGATTTTGGACTTTCAAGATCATTTCCAATAGAAGGTGAAACTCATGTGTCAACAGTTGTTGCTGGAACTCCTGGATATCTTGATCCCGAGTAAGTACTATGGCTTACGATTTTGTAGGTTTTAATGGAAAGTTTTTGTTAATATATTTAATCATGTTTTTGTTTTCCAGATACTATAGAACAAATTGGTTGACTGAGAAGAGTGATGTTTATAGTTTTGGGATTGTTTTGTTGGAGATCATTACAAATCGACCCGTGGTCGACCAAAGCCGTGAAAAGCCACATATAGCAGAATGGGTAGGAGTAATGCTTACAAAAGGAGACATCAAAAGTATTATGGATCCAAGTCTTAATGAAGATTACGATTCTAATTCTGTTTGGAAAGCTGTTGAGCTAGCAATGTGTTGTCTAAATCCTTCCTCAGCAAGAAGACCAACTATGTCCCAAGTTGTTATTGAACTAAATGAGTGTCTCGCATCTGAAAATTCAAGGGGAGGAATGAGCCGTGACATGGACTCAAAGAGTTCTATAGACGTGAGCTTGACCTTTGATACCGAAGTCAGCCCAAGGGCTCGCTAGTTTACATGAAGGTTTCTCCTGCCATATCACGTGGATTTGTGTTTATTTGTTTTTTTTTCTTTCTATGGACTCGAATATGTCTCTCATGTATCAGTCACATTATTTGTTAATTAGCTTTAAACTTCTATCTCTACCGGTTGATACATGCGAGTTTCAGAGATAGAAACCTTTTGACCCACGAGAAAAAAATATGAAAGCGATACACAAAGAGCATTGACTTGTGACGGTGGAGATTACAAATACGAAAACGTTATCAATCTAGAACGAAGAAGACTCAAAGAGACATTATAACCAATGAAATGCCATACAAAGGTCAAAGTCAACGGAAGACGTGTTTAATTACAAGGTTGTGGTTTAATGCACGTCTCCTTTCTAGATATTATTCCTCGTTTTTTCGATGTCGACTACACCGAAATATTTATTCGTTAACTTTAGTCAATGTTTTGGTGGTCTAAAGTACGTGAGAATTTTTTCGACCACTAAAATAACTCTCGTCATTTGACATAGAAACAAAAGACAGTAGTTTGTCATTATCTCCCAACTTGTTCTGTCTAATCATATTTTTCATCGTGAAAAAAATCCCTTAATTATTTATTTTTGTAGCTGCCTTGGGACTTTTGAGAAAGTGGCTCATATAAGTCATATGTACTCACATGCATAGCTTGATATCTTAAGAAAACGCGAGAAGAACAATGGAGAGACATTTTGTGTACGTTGCCACTTTTTTGCTGATACTTCATCTTGTTCAAGCTCAAAATCAAACCGGTAAGTACAAATTTCTTGATTTAATCTATCTATATATGTGTGTGTTCTTAAACTGTTTCTTAGATGATACGCTATTTTTATTATTATGTTATTAGGATTCATTAGTGTGGATTGTGGTTTATCCCCTCTTGCATCTCCTTACGATGAAACAGAAACGGGCTTAACATATACATCAGATGCTAATTTAGTAAACAGTGGGAAAATCGGTAAAATTGCCACGGAATTCGAACCGTTCTACGATAGGCCTGCTTTGATACTGAGATACTTTCCCGAGGGGTTACGAAACTGCTACAATCTAAATGTCACCCGAGACACCAAGTATTTGATCAAGGCCACATTTGTATATGGAAATTACGATGGTCTTAACGTTGTGCCAAACTTCGACCTTTACTTGGGTCCGAATTTGTGGACAACGGTGAGTACTAATGACACTCTAGAGGAGATCATCCATGTGACCAAATCCAACTCTTTACAGGTATGTCTTGTTAACACGGGAATAAGTATACCTTTTATAAATATGTTGGAGTTACGACCAATGAAGACAAATATGTACGTTACTGAAAGCGGTTCACTGAAACGCTTATTCAGGCGGTATATCAGCAATTCAAGTACTCTTATAAGGTACATATATAAACATATCTCTCGATTGATTCTTTGCATACATGCATGTTATCAAAATTTTAAAAATATTTCACATATCAATAGTTGTTGCATTTGAAACGATAGAAAGCTATATGTCAGATGAGTAATGTGATCTAATACATGATCGTGCGTGCAGGTTCCCGGATGATGTCTATGACCGTAAATGGCACCCACTCTTCAAAGACTCATGGGCACCAGTAACTACGAATCTCATTGTAAACACTGGTATTACTTATACACTACCACAAGGTGTAATGGCAACAGCAGGAACGCCCCTAAAGGCTAACGATACCATGGGTTTTACATGGACAGTAGAGCCTCCTACTACACAGTATTACGCTTACATGCACTTTGCAGAGATTCAGACTCTAAGGGCTAACGATACAAGGGAATTCAACGTGACACAGAATGGAATATATACTTTTGGACCTTTTAGTCCTCTACCGCTAAAAACCGCATCCATATCCAACTTAATCCCACAGAAATGCGATGAAGGGACATGCATTGTGCAGGTTGTAAAGACGCTGAAATCTACCCTTCCACCTATACTTAATGCTATCGAGGCTTTCAGTGTGATTGATTTCCCGCAAACGGAGACTAATGGAGAAGACGGTATGTCGATTTTTAATTCCTTATCTACAAATCTTTGTTTTATATGTTTTGATTCTTGATCATATCATCAAACTTTACAGTTGCTGGTATCAAGAATGTTCAAGATACTTACGGATTGAATAGAATCAGTTGGCAAGGAGATCCATGTGTCCCCAAACTGTTTTTGTGGGATGGTCTAAACTGCAGCATCTCTGATAATTCTACGCCACCAATAATCACTTCCTTGTGAGATAAATCGTTTAATATAATTTGTATTTTTTTTAATAACAATGTCAAATTTGAAACTATTATCTCACAGTTTTTTTCTATTTTTTTTTTAATCTTCAGAGACTTATCCTCAAGTGGATTAACTGGGATCATCACGCATGCCATTCAGAATCTAACACACCTGCAAAAACTGTAAGTATCTCCACGGCTGACCAAACCTCATATTTGTTTTGCCTTTGATGAATTATATTTGAAGTGTAATAAAATTTTATTTTGGGTAGGGACTTGTCAGGTAATAATTTGACTGGAGAAATACCTAAATTTTTAGCTGACATAAAATCACTCTTGGTCATGTGAGTTTATAATGAGACACTGCAAATTATTTTTTTTCTTTTAGTTAAATTACTTAAAAATAGTCTTGACTCTTTCTTTGTCTACTCCAACAGAAACTTAAGTGGTAATAATCTCAGTGGCTCAGTTCCTCCCTCACTTCTTCAGAAGAAAGGAATCAAGTTAAAGTAAACTCTTTCATTTCTTTCTTTTTGATTGTTATCAGGCTGATTGATGTACTTGGTATCTTTAACACCACTCACAACTTTACAGTGTCGAAGGCAACCCTAATCTTGTTTGCACAGCTGGTTCATGTATGAACAAAGGAGATGAAGGGCATAAGAAAAAGAGTGTCATAGTTCCAGTTATTGCATCAATCGCTTCAATAGCTGTTCTTATTGGTGCATTGGTTCTGTTTTTTATTCTTAGAAAGAAGAAGTCACCAAAAGCTGAAGGTACTATATCAATAAGCTCAATTTTCGTTGCTTTCTTAATTATTATCTTAACATAAATATAAAAATTTAAGTACAAAGTCTGACTAAAGTTTTTGCTTAAAACCTTAGTGCCACCACCATCTTATATGCAAGCATCATCCCAACCGGCAATAGTGGCGAAAAATAGAAGGTTTACTTACTCACAAGTTGTGACGATGACAAATAACTTTCAAAGAATCCTTGGGAAAGGAGGGTTTGGAATTGTTTATCATGGTTTTGTGAACGGTACTGAACAAGTAGCTGTTAAGATACTCTCCCATTCATCATCTCAAGGATATAAACAATTCAAAGCTGAAGTAATCTCTCCCCTTCAACACTGACTCAAACGTGAACACATCAGTAACTCAATTATTTCTAAAACTTGAACTTGTGGGTTATGGTTTTTGGTGTATAGGTAGAACTTCTTCTTAGAGTTCATCACAAGAACTTGGTCGGTCTTGTTGGATACTGCGATGAAGGAGAGAGCTTGGCTCTTATCTATGAATACATGGCCAATGGAGATTTAAAAGAACATATGTCAGGTATAAAACAAATATTGAATGTTCTTTTTTAAAAAAAATTTAAGTTCTGTGGAGGTAACATTTGAGTATATGACTTTGACAACAACCAGGAACACATAACCGGTCTATTTTGAATTGGGGAACTAGACTAAAAATAGTCGTTGAGTCTGCACAAGGTTGGTTTAGAGATTACACCAATAATCTTTTCCTTTGTTAGTTTGAGTTGCTTGCTATTAATTAAAAATGAGTATTGTTGCATAGGACTTGAGTACTTGCATAATGGATGCAAACCACCAATGGTTCATAGAGATGTCAAAACCACAAATATATTATTGACTGAGCACTTCCAAGCCAAACTTGCTGATTTTGGGCTTTCAAGATCATTTCCAACTGAAGGAGAAACTCATGTGTCAACAGTTGTTGCTGGAACTCCTGGATATCTTGATCCCGAGTAAGTATTACCGCACACGAAATTCCATTAATTTTTATTTTCTTTAAAGAGAAATAAACTTGACACATTTTGTCATATATTTTGATTTACAGATACTATAGAACAAACTGGTTGACAGAAAAGAGTGATGTTTATAGTTTTGGTATTGTATTGTTGGAGATCATCACAAACCAACCTGTGATAGACAAAAACCGTGAAAATCCTCATATAGCAGAATGGGCAGGAGTAATGCTTACAAAAGGAGACATTAAAAGCATTATGGATCCTAGTCTCAATGAAGACTACGAGTCTGCTTCTGTTTGGAAAGCCGTTGAACTAGCAATGGGTTGTCTAAATCCTAATTCAGTGAGAAGACCGACCATGTCCCAAGTTGTTGTTGAATTAAACGAGTGTCTGGCATCTGAAAAGGCAAGGGGAGGAGCGAGTCGGGACATGGAATCAAAGAGTTCTATAGAAGTGAGCTTGACCTTTGATACTGAAGTGAGCCCAACGGCTCGGTAGATTACATAAAGAAATATCCTACAATACCTCATTGATTTTTGTTTATCTATAGGACTATCCTCTAATATGTTTCTCTGGTATGTCACACTTCTTAATGAGAAAATTTAATAGAGAACTAGGATGTGAAGATAAGGGTTACCGTAGTCAACTTGAGTAATACTCTGTTTCTGAGTAAATGAGAAACACAGAGGAAAAAAACAACTCTTTGTTTGAAGACAGAGTAGGAAGCAAAACAGAAAATAAGTCAAAATTATTAAGCAAAACATAGATTCATGGCTAGGGATGAAACACCATATTAGTTTAGCCAATAGAAATATAATAATACGTCATGTAATATTAAATCATAATTGAAACCAGATAAATAAATAAACTTACAGAAATAATATATGTATACTTTTTGATTAAAGGACGTTAAATATCGGTTTGAGTTTATAAATAAAATTCGAGCTTGGGTTTTACAATCAAACGAGATTATGTGTTAGTTCGGATTTGTCAAGGAAGAATAGAATTGAAATTTTTTATGATTAAACAAAATTATATGTCCATTAAGATATATAAAGGAGAATTACGGTTTATAATTTACAATTAAACAAGTTATAATATGATATTTTAGAACTAGTGAAAATATTACAAATACAATTTTTTGAAAGTAAAGTTAAATCATTCATCTATAGATATAACAATTCTCACTAATAGAAAAACTTCACAAAATTAATTATTTACTTGTTTTGATTCTCTTATTTTCCTATGTTACATGCTTTCTAATTAATTTTCGTTACAGGTTCACAAATCTTTATTGTTACACGTGTCAAATCTTAGCGATTCATTGACACGTTAAACTTCTTTCAAACAAGGTTGACATGTGTTAGTATTCTTTTAATTAACTACTAATTTGAAAACAACAAAAAGTGTAAGAAAAGTATATAGTTTAATCACTTTTATTTATTCCATATCATTTCTTTTTAATAAATATTTACAAAAATAGTATTTGCAATTATTTCCTTATTAGGTTTTGTGATGGTAATTATTTTCTTATAGGAATAGTAATTGAACTTTAAATATTGCCTAATTTTGGACCACTTTAACACTTTGACCAATTTATTATGTGTGACAAAGAAAATAAAAAGAAATAAAACTAGTCAAATAACATTCATTAATAAATTAACCTGTTTTATGAAAAAAAAACATATTCAAATATATTTAAAGTGTTTCTAAATTTACAATGCTGAGAATTGGGATAAGTTTTTTATTCAACATCAGAAGTCTATAAATCAGTAAAGAGAAACAAAAATATATTTAAGAAGTATTTTGTGATATATACTCCCAAGTATACTTAGATTGATACGAAATAATGAATCTTGCGTTAAGCTTTCTGATTTTAATATTTGTTTCGTCTTTTGTGTCAATTGAAGCTAGATGTCACAAAAATACTGTAGTTTTTCAAAACAACCTTTTCCTAAGTCAAAGTATTCTACAAGTTCATTGCAAGTCCATAACCGATGATTTAGGCGATCATTTTGTGACATTTCAAGGTCCTACATACAATTTTAGTTTTCATGATGGTGTTATCTTCACGAAGACAATCTTCAGATGTAACTTGTGGAAGGGAGCTCTTATGGAGTATCATAAGAATTTTACAGCATATACAGGAGATCTTATTTATAGGTGTGGCGCATTGTACACATGGGATGCACGAGATGATGCTATTTACTTGTCAAAAGATGATGGTGAGGCGGAGAAACTCATGTATAGTTGGATAAGAGATGATCAAAAATCTAAATCCTCATTTCATCTTATAGACTAACCGTGTTGCCTTTTTGTATGTCAGAGTTAATAAAAGTGAGAAGAAAATATCTATGAATTCTTCTAATTTTGGTTTATGATTCATATATACATACTAGTAATCATCCCGTTCTACGCACGGGTTTAGTTTATTTATTTTTTGGATTTAGTTATTTTCGTTGAAGTAGTAAACTCATACTATCATTTATAATAATTTATTAATAATATATATAAGTTTTTGATCATGATTATAAAATAACGTAAATTTGAATAAGAAAATGTATATGATTAGTTATTGGGTTACAAAATGTATTTATCGTTAGAGTAATTGTGTTCTACAAATAGGACATGTTGTTATGCATCGTTACCGGTTGGTAATGCATTCATGGTAAAATTTGTGGTTGCATAGTATAAGTCGAAAACGAACATAGGATCATCATTATGGCCATTATTTGCTAATCTCACGTCGAGAGCAGCACCTTCTTGGTCACAATCATGAAATGAGAGATCTTTTTCCGGCCCCGAAAATTTATTATTGATGTTTTTTCCTCTTTAGATATTCAAACATACTGAGCATTCACCATCTGCTTCGTTTGTGACTTGCGTTTGCTCAATTTTTAGGTCTCCTATTACCAATTTTACATCCACTCTTGTTGACGCATTTGGGTTGTTATCGTCAATTTCGAGATAAGCTTCAATTGTTTTTTTTGGGCTGCTTTAACTAATTGAATAGCTGAGTGCCTAAAAGCAGTCAAATTATCGATTAAATTAAATACCTAATGTTTGTATACAAACTTTTATTTTAATGTTTTGTTTGTTTTTTACTTTTTTTTTTTTACTTTTTTTTGGTTTTTTTCTTCATTTTTAATGTTTTCTAATAGTTTTTTGGTTTTATTATTTTGAAATGATGGTAGAATTAAATACTCATTGCAATATTTTATTTATTCTTAATTAATAATATTTGTTTTATTCATTTGTATAATATTGTAAAGCTTATACAATTAGTATTCTACAATTTGGACATGTTGTTTTGTGATGTAACCATGTTACAATACATTCATGGTGAAATTTGTGATTGCAAAATAGAGTGTTAATATTTTCTGGTCCTTGTAGATCTTCAAGACATATAGCGCATTCACTATCTTCTTCTCCGGTAGCTTTCCTTTGTGTAATTTCTAGATCTTGAATTACCACTTCTACATCAAGTCTTCTTGAAGCATTTGGATTGTGATCTTCGATTTCGAAGTAGACGTTGAGCGATTGATGGTTGTCCCCTCCAAATGAGAGAATAACATCTTGTATAAAATTTATCAAGTTAGTAACTAACATACCTGAGACTGTTTCGTCGATTTCATGAAAAGTGAGATAGAAATCGACAATATTTTTGAATTGCGTGTTATTTGGCTGTAGTAGATGGTCGTTGGAAAATGGGATTGTGTAGCTGATGTTGCTTTCTTGTCGATGTGGTCTATCAATTTTGAGTAAGAGCTGGCTGGTTGGTTGTATTGCTGTTATAATTGCTTCGTATAACAATGCATAGAGTATGTTATCCATTTGGTTTTTGTAGATGATATTTGTTTTTGTTTTTGGCTGTTTTTTTGTTTGTTATTTTTATGATATGTTTGATATTCCTATTTATAGTGGAGTATGGTTATTTGATATTGTTATTATATTTCATTAATTGTCATTATTCCTCGTTTTTGTTTACCGTTAGTCTTTTTGGTTGTTATATGTATTCAATGTGATTATTATTGTGTAATCAATTTGGTGTTTTGATTACTGTATATAAATTCATTTGACTTTTTATTCTTGTGTGTTTTTGTCCATACCAATTATATAGTCACAGATGAGCTACAGTGTCACTTTCGTGGTAAACAAAAATCATGATTAATGGTCATTGTTCTTGTTGTCATTTCAGAACAAAACAACAGTACCTTAACATATTTGATAGGTTTCCTAATTGCGGCTTACATCACTATTAGCAATACGTTTATAGATTTTTGTTTTCTTGATCAATATGTGTTTGACAAATAACAATGATCAAATTGCGAGCAGTGCATTAGACAATAACGGAGAGAGAGACTTTTGTCACTTCTCAATTTTTTTTTTATATTAGCTTACCTATTAGTTTTTACTGTTAATTTTAAAATATTACTATATTTGTTTTTCTTTTCTATTGTTGATTGTGTATTGAATGTATTTAATTTGGGCATTATTATTGTTGATCCTAAATCATTGTCTACTATTTAAAATTTAATAATAAAATATGAATTAAATGTGGAGATACATTGTAACTTCTATATATCTCCTCCACTATGTTGATTTTCAAATAAGACCAAAAAAGTTTGTCTGAAATTATGGCTAACATTTCTGAGCTTAATCTTACTTTTCATATACCAGAGGTGAAGCAATGTTACTTCAATGATGAAGAGTGTGTTGAATAATCTATGTTTTTGGCTTGGTTGAATTTGAATAGGACCAATGCACTTGCTTGAACATTCACATATGCAGAGATTCCAAGTTTGATTACTTGGAATAGAAAAGATAAACAATTTCAAGCAAGGAAAAGAAGCTTTCAAATAAGAAGGATTAACATGTTCCTCGTAACATGGGCGAAGTGTATTTTTTGAGAATACTTCTTGCTATTGTGACAGGGCCTACATGTGGTGAAGATTTGAGAACTTATGAAGGTGTTGTTTATGGAACATATAGAGAAACATGTTTGGCACGTGGTATAACTGAATAATGATTTTGTTTTGTATTGGAATAAATTATTTCTTTTTTCTATTTAATACTCTAATAAAACATTTGGTTTTGTGCTTTTGTGTTTGTTTGCCAATGTTGTAAAGATCAATATAACAATATCAGTTGATCAATATTGGCCAATGTTTTTGGTTTTCTTTTTCTGGTTATGTGTTCATCTTTATGTGAGTCTAAAATTTTATTATTAATAATTGATGTAGCACTTTTACCAATTTTTAAAAATATTTACATAGCAGATATCATGGGCCTTATTTGGTGTTTAGGTCCAGTTTACCTCTTTGTTACTTTGTGTCATTTTTGTGGGTCTGTCGGTTACTATGCTTTTGTTTTTTTTTCGTTTGTGTTGAAAACTCGAGAGTCAAGACAGTCGTAACTTTATTTTTTTGGTTTTTTTTTTTGTTTTGGCGGTTGAGGTGAAGCATGGTTTTTTATTATATCAGCTCTCGTTTTCTTTTTGTTTCTCTTGTACTTGCACTTAATTTTTATTTGTGTTTGCTCTTTAGATATAATTGATGTAATTGTTGCTCGATTTGCTGTAGAGGATAGAAATTAATGTGTGGGTTTCAAAACTGTGTGACTTCCAATTTCAGTATAATATAATTCATCTATTATAAATGTCCTTA